GTAACACAACTAATAGGTTTCACAGTTTCAAAAGAATTCAAATAACTTGTGTTAGTTAATAGTTTTCGTTTATGTCGACCCTTTTTTTTTTTTTCCGTGCGGAATTCCCCTCGGATACCACCTATCAGTGGCATGTCTGACACGAACCGACTAAAACCGCACGCCGTCTCGGGTACTAATAGTCGGGGAACCAGGTATACCCTAGAAAGGAAGTCCCTGGTGCCCCGACATACCTCGGGCCATCTACAGACGAGTAGACGACCCCTCCCGTGTGGGAGCGAAGCTCCCTGCTCCCTGGATGCTTCCCGCTTCGCAACGCGCTCGCCGCCACCCCGGCCTGCTTCTGCTACTCGATAGCCTGATTGCGGCTATCGTGTGGAGCGAGAGTGCGTGGAACTCTGCCGTCTCCTTCTGCGAGCAAGTTATGCTCGCGAAGGAGACGGCGGAGCGGGACCGGGAGAGGTTTAGGACTCTCCCGGTCAGACCGCCGTATTTCCGCACGGAAAAGAAAGAGAACGTAGGTCGTTCTGCGACCTCCGGCGCCTGAGTCGCCTGCGGTACCTGGCCCGTTCCCGGGCCTGGCGGGCCGGGAGAGTTCTAAACCTCTCCCGGTCCTGCTCCGCCGTCTCCTTCGTGAGCATAACCTGCTCGCAGAAGGAGACGGCAGAGTTCCACGCACTCTCGCTCCGCACGATAGCCGCAATCAGGCTATCGAGCGAGAGAACTCCCACTCCGATGGCCGCCACGAGGTCTCGCCTCTGCTCAACCCACGCCGGGCACTCTGCGAGCGTGTGGAGAGCCGTGTAAACGGTCTGGCCATCGCAGTGGTGACACTATGTCGACCCCTGGGAAACCGTCTAGAACAACAGGCCCGTTAAACTGTAGGTTAACGTTCATTGGATGCAAATCAGAGAATCTTACTAGTAATAAGTTACGTGCCTACCCTGATTACAGCAGTGCTATTATCTAAGGAAACAGCCACATTAACGAGCCAAAGTATGTAGGCTATCTAAACTATTAGTTTGAATCCTTCTTTTTGTAGATAAGAACAAATTCTTGAGATAACTGATTACATTCATGATAAATGAGTAACTAGTAAATTCGACGCTGTGGCAGCGCTGTACACAAAGTTGTTGTTGTTGTTTTCTTAGAGAATAGCAGTGCTGGCATAATTTTCTTGCTATAAATATAGGATGATATGGAATATATGCACGGATAGCTTAGTGATTTAAGCGGCCACCTCAACGCTACTTACTGCGCTGAGTGTTGTGGATTCTATCCCCAAATGGGACAACACATTGTGTGACCTACAAATTGTTGTTCTGAATCTAGGAGTTCTTTGTGTGTTTCGTGAATGTTTGTAAAGTCCCCCGCGATACAGGATACACATATTCCTATTGCGGGAGTCTTTTTAAAAGAAAATATAAATAACACGATATATTTCTATTTAGAATATAGTATTATCAAACAGTCCAGAGAGGAAACGAGGACGAGAGGGCGACCAAGAACAAGATGGGGAGACATCTTCACACAAAGAGTTATAGCGGGCTGGATGAGAACAGCTAGAGATAGAAAGCAGTAAAAATATTTGAACGTAATAGGTTTTCAACACAATAATAAATAGAATGAGATGATTACTAATTTGTAAAATTTATTTATTATTGTAAGTAATTAAATGTGTAATTATAATTTGTTATTGAAAATTTATAAAAGTGTTAATAGTATAATAATTATAGTAAATTTATAGATTGATTGATCTATTTTATAATTATATTGCTGTTTTTATTTTATTTTTTATTATCAAACAGCCCATGCATGGACGTATTAAATTAACAGGAATAAGTGTCGTATACGGTTAGTTCTTAATTTAATTTGTATCATTAAACTACTTATAATCTGTATACATAATGTTAGCTTACTAATACGTACTGTAATTAAATGAGTGATAATGTCTACTCAAGCCGTAATTCTATGAATATGTATGTATTAGCATTTAGATAAGCGTTGCGTCTGAAGGTTTTTAATTCCATTTTTACGTTTTTTTTTAACTAAAGGCTTTCTGCACGTAATGGAAGCCTAATATTTTTTTAAAGGTAGCTAAGGTCTGTGGACGTTCTTGGCTTACCTATTAGAGTCCCTTCCACTCACCGTCACTTACTGGTGACGGAACATTGTACGATTTTAGTTGGTATGATTACGACATACCACTTCTATGGGTTTTTTTTTCTACACCAAGAAGAATGCTCTACACAAAAAAAAAACAAGAAAAATATTTACAAGACGGCCATATTGGAAAATACACAAATATTTTATTAACATGGATAGGCGTTTCCTAAATAAGTATATATTATTTTATAAAACTACCAACTATAATTATTAGAGGCACTAATTATTGTCGCCTTCTAAGCTAGCCTTTCGAATATATTTCATTATATTTAAAGACGTGCTTAACACCATAACGGCAAAGGTTTTATCACATTTATCATGAATCTAATCAGTTATCTTAGGAATTTGTTCTTGTCTACAAAAAGAAAGATTCAAACCAATAGTTTGGATAGTCTACTTTGGCTCGTTAATGTAGTGCCGAGTTTTTTTGGATTCTCTATACGAGCTGATCAAATATGGGGTATTATAATTTTTTTACTACTCATTGAACCGGCACCAGTTAATGTCGCTGTTTTAGTGGCCTCTCCAGTCATAGTACAGTCTCTCCCCCAGGTCCCTCTGTGAGACCAGCCCTTTCGAACTACTTCTACTTCCGTTCCGTTTCTCTATCAAAAACTTTCCTCACTCAACCCTTTTGTTTGTGCCCTTTTAAAAGGATTATATTCCTAATTCGGGCGGACATAAAGCAGAAACCTGCCAAAACATTTTGCTTATTGCCAAGAGGTCTCGTGTCCTGGTTGACATGTAACTGGTGGAGAGAGTCTACCTGCGGCTTATTATCATTATCATTAATCAAAATTTTCTGATTAATGTTTTTCAATGTAACTTTTCTAAATAAAATTGAATCAAAGATTCATCATTCAAGCAGTAATACTGTCGGAATTCTAAGATCTACCTAGCAATAAAAAAAAAGTATCTTTCCGTTTTCACTACACTATAAGCTGTTTACATAATCTAGAAAAACTAATCACACTTAAGTTTTCTTTATGAAAAGCCCACCACAAAGTATTTTTTTTTGTGATTGGGGCATCTAAATTTGTTATACACTTCTGATCTGGAGCAGCAATTATATAAGGTATCAAAAACACTAATAAACGTTAATATTTTAGTGCCATTTTGGATTGTCCACTGTTCTTTATTGTTCTACGTATACGGAGTTGGCTTATTTGTATATCAATGGAAACATGCTGAGGGAGCAGAAGAATTTATCAAGAGTTATTTCAGTCTTTCTATTTTTATATTGGTATTGAATAACAGCTGGTGGTGGTGGAAGGAAAGGTATTAATTTTTGTTTATTTCCATAAATACTTTCAAGATGAAGAGTATCTCAGGTCACCGATTATGAAATAGCATACGTCTTAGTTTAGATTTTAGATTTTTGCTTTCTTTTCAAATTACAAGTTGTAACTACTTAGTTCAAACAGCACCAAATGCAGAACCATGAACCCAACTTACAAATATTTAGCTTAAATAGAGGAGTTGTTAACACGAAATATATGACGCATGTTACTAGTTTTTTCAGTTAGATTCTTAAGAAAAGTTAACGTTTCTTGTCTTGGCGTTCAGATTATAGTTACTGACTGGTCGGTTGGGGAGATATAAAAACTAGTTCGTGTTTATATCTCTTAATTTCAAGTTGTTTTTTTTCCCTATTCGTTTCTATTATGTTAACTGATTGGATTTGCAGAGTTCTCTATTCCGAGCAGATTCACGTCAAAATGAATCTTTAGATGGCCTAAATGTATTGTTCCTTGCTTTTTTTTTTACCCTTCGAAATGTGGTATCTGCTGTGGGCGTACCCACAAATGCCTGATTTTAACTTATTCTTTTCTCGCAGTATACTATATTTTAATTGCTACTAAATTTTCTAACGGATTAACACTTTAACTGGTGACTGATATTGCAGAGCGCTGTTGAAAGCAATTTTAAAAGATATCAACAAAAGTGATCGTTTGTCTCGGCGATCACCCATCTTTGAGATAAAGCAAGAAAAATTGGTAAAGATCATCAAGTGGATCATATTAGTATTTTATGGGACCAACGTTTGTAACGCTGTCCTTGTCTATTGGCCAAACCGCATTGATCTTGGCGGCAAATATTGTATGACTCCGTGTGTTGGTAAGTAGATCTACAATTTTTTATTGGTTTGTTTAAATGGATACTAATATACTATGGAACTGTTTACTGCGTGCTTCGACACGCACTGAGGTGTTTTATTTAAATATATTTTTTATGATGTATATTCGACACCAAGTTTATCAAAGATCACGTTTTCCTATTTGCGTATTTATATAAAGAAGACTAAAATATACTAACTGGATTAACATTATAACAATGTCTACAAGTTGATACAGAAAACCTATAACTGACTCACCGCTTACAGCTCATTACAGGATTCTACATAAAAATGTCTAAGCAACCTTAAAAGTTGTTAAAGAGGCTTAAAAGGCCTAGACTAAGACTGAGAGAAATCTATGCTACATTAGATACCAGCTTTTGCCCGCGGCTCCGCCCGAGTCTGTCGTTTATCGCGGACAAAAGTAGCCTATGCTCCTCGCTATGATAATGTAGCTTTCCATTGGTGAAAGAATTTTTAAAAAGGGTTTAGCTGTTTAGGCATAAAATAAATTGAATTGAAACTGACGAATTCAAATAATATTACATAATAAATATAATAGTATGTTGGAGTAACATAAACCATGTTGTGACAGTGGCCCTAGACTGTATCTGTTTCGTTTTTATTATTAACGGTCTGATATAACTTAGTTGTTTTTTTTTTAATTTTAGGTCTTAAACCACTAACAAGAAGCCCCGACGCTCAGATCTGCAGGATAATGCTTTTGGTACAAGAAATTTGCATCTCAACTGTCGTCCTTAACTTTCAAGCGCTTCTGCTGCTCTTAATAGCTCATACATCTGTTATGTACCGATTATTAGCTCAAGAGATGCTGATGCTAAATGAAAATGTACCCGACATCAAAGCTGTGGCCAAAGAACTGATGCCATCTTTAATTTGTCGACACTCCTTGACTTTGGATGTAGTGGATAAGCTAAAGTCTTTGTATAGTGTACCTCTCGGAGTAAATTTTGGAACCAATGCTGTCTGCATATGCTTATTCTGTTATTTGCCTCTCCAAGAGTGGCTTAAATTCATGCCTATTCTGGTGTACTGTTTCCTATTATACTTCCTATATTGCTTTCTTGGTCAAGGTCTTATAAATGCATCGGAGGATTTTGAGAGAGCAGTATATTGTTGTGGATGGGAGAACTTTGATTTGAAGGAGAAGAAGTTGGTTTATGTGATGCTCCGTCAAGCACAGAAGCCCATACAGTTGCTGGCGGCTGATATTATCCCTGTGAATATATATACGTTTGCTACTACTTTGCAGGGGGTATTTAAGTTTGTTACTGTAGTAAAGTTTTAGAATAAAATTTTAATATTTAGTGTAGGAAACAGTTGTCATAACACAAAATGTCATGAAGCTGTTAGTTTGCTACTCACTTATAAAATTAGTTAAATGTTCAATGTAGTAAAATAAATATTCTCTTTGATGAAAAACTGAGTATTGCTTGATACTTTTTAAAACAAAGAAACCCGTAAAGCCCTTGTATCAGCCGGAAGGAAAGAACGTGAGTTATGATCAGGATTTGCATTCCTAATTTGTAAGAAACCATACAAATTTAATACAAATTTAATACTAATATTAGACACGCTAATGTGAGGTCGATTATTTGTTACGTTTAAACTACTCAAGTAATGATCCTGAGATTCTTATTCATCAGGGTTATTAGGGTATTACAGGGCATCTTTTATTGTGAAAAAATGAATTGTTTCAGAAGGACAATTCATTTTTTCACAATAAAACACAATTGTTGACGAAATCTACATCAATGTAAGTATATTGACTAAAATTCGATCAAGGTATTGTAAACTCGCATAGCATATCTATGGTCATCGGTTAGTATTGTTTATAGTTTAGTACTGTGTCATGGCGTATGCCCAGTTTCATAGTCTCAATACTATAATATCGTCAGGCACAGAGTGGTATAATTCTGTCTACAATGTATAGAAAGTTAAAATCACACACGTAGGCATCTTGTTACGTTTTGCTTCTAAGGTAATTCTAAGGTAATTATTTTCACATTTACCTTTTTTATCTCCAATCTAAATGTAAGCTCAGCCACTTGTACTTTCTACTCGTGTTCTGCACTAAGATTGTACAACATTCTGATGAAAGTGACGCAGTGAAAATTCCGGATTGTTTGTTATGTAATCTATAGAAAGTAATTTTGTCAGTGTCTTCTTCAAGTTTTAGCTGCAAAGGGGATTTAAGAACATTACGCCGCACGCATTATATTCGTAAGCTCATAGAGTGTTTGTAAATTATGAATATTTGAATTTTGTTAGGTTTGCAATATAATAATTTTAAATGTTTTTTATTTGTTTATTTACATCTTTATGCACTTATGTACATCGGCGGACTTAATGCACTGGGGATTCTCTACCAGCCAATCTTTAGGTGGTGTAGCAATATTGTAGGGTAGGTGGGGAGCGCGCTCGCTTCCAGGCAGCAGAGGGAACATGGGGTTCCCACACGGGGGGGGGGGGGTCGTCTACTCGTCTGTAGATGGCCCGGGGTATGTCGGGGCACCAGGGACTTCCTTCCTAGATTCCTATATAGAATATATATATATTCATATATATACACATAAATACATATCCCTTACTTGTCTTGTTCTTACACTATGAATACTTGAGGAGGTGCACTATTGGTTACGGTACTTTAGCTATCTGTTCTATAAGGTAATTATGGTACATGGGGAGTTGAGGAATGAAAAGACAGAGGTCAGCGCTTGCTGTAACCATTTTAATTGGAAGCGTAAAGCAGACACATGGTCATACTTGCAAAGATTGCAGATGTATTGAATGCAGTTATTAAGAAGACGGCTTATTGAGGAGGTCTGCAATTAGGTCGAAGTAACACACATCACCATAGTCAATTTTAGGAATAATTAGGGACTGCATATGAGAGTAGGCAGGAAATTCTTAAGACAGTATAATGTACCCGTTATTTTCTGGTTTACATGAGTAACTCGAGCACGCGTGTCTAGTTTTGAGTCGATAAGCAGGCCTAGGTCTAATCTACCGGGCTTCAAGGGATAACTGAGCCGTTGAAGACGACCGATATGTTTGCACTACTAAATAACAAGGCGGTTATATTACTTCACGTTGCTTCCATCCCTTTAATAACTAGGAAAGAGCTGATGATCTTCAAGCACCTGAACAGATTTTCTTTCAATAATCTCGAGCAAGTAACCCTTGAAGGCGAAAAACTGCGTTAAAATCGAACTATTAATTTAGGAGAAACGATGTCAGAAACGTGCATAGATACATACTTCCCCACATTTAAATTGAAATACACTTCTTTTTTTGCGTTCGGGGGATATGATATGCAAATAAATAGACGTTAGAAGAGACAGAGATAAAGAAATTTAGATAGGAGAGTTCGGCTCGATCCGATAATAGCCGATTTGAGTTACATGAGATCTTTGTCTATCATTTGCTCACTAGATTTTGCCCACAACTCCGCCCGCGTGTATGTCGGTTTTCGCGATAAAAATAGCCTATGTTACCCGCTGTTAATGTAGCTTTCTATTGGTGAAATATTTTTTTAAATTGGTTTAGTTGCTTAGGTTAAAAAGCGTAACAAACAAACAAACTAACTCACTATCATATTTATAATATCAGTATGCAAAGATGGATATCTCTATCTATCTATCTGTAATAATACTAATATTTGAGACATATAACACACAACGCCAAACTAAGCAGATCTTTTACTATAAAAGCTAGATTGACTGATAGAGTACCAATATGCTTTTTTTTGTAAATACCTACATATTATACAAAGGAAATATCCAAACTCCGATACAAATATTTGTAGATCATACAAACATTTGCTTCAACCCGGAAATCGAACCCGAGGCCTCAGCACAGCAGTCGCAGTCGCAGTCGGCAAAGTATAAGTAATATACTTTGCCTTATATCACCTTCCCTTCTTACTGACTTTTCCATTCATTATACTTCTTAGTTCCTAACCTCCAAAAGTGAGAAGTTGATAGCAATACCTATTAAGTAAGTGAGACTAAAATTGTAGACTTTAATTACGTCTCTGACTAGCCCTTCCGGAAATAAAACGAGTATGTATTTAAATGATATAAAGCACCAAAAATATAATGCACCTTAGCAAATTTCAAGATAGATTATTGTATTGTTACTATTATTATTATGCAATTTTCTTGACGATATTTTGATTAAAATAATCTCAATATTTCGAAACACGTCGTTAGCGTTGTATCCAATGACAATAGAATGGTAGTATGGTCTGAAAACATAAGAGAACATGTAAGTTGAATTTCAACTAGAGCAAAGTTTCCGTAACGTTGACTACAATAAGTGATGATGAAACCAAAAACTTGCAAAATTTTTCAGTGAAAGATTTTTAAAAGTTAAAGAAATAAAATATAAAAAAATCGTCTATCATCAAAGAATAATACGACCTATTATTTATTGTTATTGCGGTTTACTTAACCAAAATGATCTAAATCAGTTATTCTCAAACTATTTTCGGCAAAATACCCCTTTTTCAAAATGAACTGATACCGCAGACTCATATATAGTAAAATTACATTAAAAACCCTATCTTCTCTAGTTTTTTCCTATTAATACAAAAAATTAACTAATAAACTTGACATCATTTTCTCATCAAAATTTGAAAAAATCTCATCAAATTTTCTCGACAAAATATATAGACATGAAATTCACTAAGTATTAAGTGTAAGTCAAATAACGTAAAATACAAAACGTTAAAAAACATACATACACATATAAGTACACTACGTATAAGTTATACAGTATCTTGAAAGTTTCAAATAAGAGCTCGTGTTAATTAATAGGGGTCGATTTTTAGATCTAGTCGACCCCTAAAATCAGTATTCCTTTGTCGACCCCTGAGATTTCCTCCCCTAAAGGGTCCACTATAATTCCTTATTTTAAATGATCTAATGTAAATTAAAAGTTATAACCTACGAGTAATTTTAAAATTGTAATATTTGTTTTGATCGATCTTTCTTTTCTGAACACCAAATAAAATATATCTTTTACCGAATTCTGAAAAAGGTAGAGGATTTCTCAATTCGTCTGTATGTTTTTTATTTATGTTTGTTTTCTTAGATCTCCGTCAACCGGATTTGAAAATTACTTTATTTCTTCTCGTTTGAAGCCATTCAAATTTCAAGCAAATGTCCCCCCCTAAGGGGATAAACTAAGAAGTGAAAAATACAGTTTATCACAATTCGTCACGATGTAGGCGTATTCATATTGGTGAGACTGGTTTTAAAATTCCAATGGCGCGTGCTCATTAGTTAATGCAAATAGAGCGCCTTTCTTCGGAGAGTGTATTACAGGAAATCGGTTGCCTGTTACACGCATCCGTTCCCTATCACGAAAACACTCCAAATCAGTAAAACTGAGATTTAACACTTCAAAGAAATATATTCTTCTTCTTCTTCAAATGCCTCTTCAACTACCGAAGGTCGGCAGTCAGCCTTGCATATTCCTTCTTGTTCTTCACGAGTCAAAAGAGATCGGTAGCGATCGCGATTCCCGTCCATTTCCTACTTTCTCCTGCGACCAACGCCCCTTCTTCCGGAAACCTTTCCCATTAAAATAACTCGTAACAGTTCATATCTTTCATACCTAAGTACATGTGCAACTTTTATAGTTACTATGTAATTATATTAATTAATTAACTTTTTACGGTACCCTGAAGTTTCTAAATTGTTTCTATATTATTAGGCACAATTTTGTTACCCTGACTGTTTTGTCACTTTCAGTGTTTCAGTGTGATATTTTTTACGGCTTAAACAATTAAATCTATTAAAGTCACTCGTACGCTTTAAGATCTATTTAAAAACTGTAGCAATAACTATGAAGCTGTGGTCTGCAGTTCGTTAACGGGAAGGTCGGCTGACTAAAAAGTCTAAAAAGTATGTTGACCTAAATACGCGTTCTTGCATGTCTATCATAATAATATCTAGCGTAAATTTTTAACGCTAACTATTATTTCTCGCAATAATTCATATTGTTAGTCATGTACTGACTGAGTTTTTTTTTTGTTTACACCATAGATCTCTAAAGGCGAAATATTCAAACATACCTACCTAATTCTGTCTGGTGTACTAATTTGACCTTAACATACTTGACAAAATGTTCAATGTTCATATTGAATGAACATAGAACATTGAAGCCTTTTAACCAACTGCGAAACATAGACATTACTAAATGAATTAACTTTTATGTTCGATGCAATACAATTGGAGTGCAACGGATACGGTGCAACTTTTTTTTATTTAATTTATTTTAATTCTTTATAGACTAGTATAAGTTTTACAATGTCGGACTTAATGCCACAGGCATTTTCTCCCAGTCTACCTTAGGGCGGTGCTGAAATGTGTGACTAGGTGCACTAGACAATGATATGTAAAGTAAAAGGAAGTTATTTATAAGTTAGACAGAAACAATGCGATAAATATACATACATACATATATACGTACCAAATATATACACATATACTTACCTAGTTACATACATATATAAACCTACAAATTAATAAGATATAGAACTTAAAGGTTGTAATGAACTTTCATCTTGAACAGGATGCGGCTAGGTGCTATCCTGATTTCTAGAGAGAATGCGTTCCAAAGGAGTACACATTGGATTAGGAACGAGGAGGATACAAGCGGAAGTATGAGTAGAAAAGGATTGTTTAATGAACGGAAGGTTCTATCGTGGTGGGAACACAGAAATAGGATTGAAGATAAATCGAATGCAGTAATTCAGAAGGCGGTCATATTTATTGAGAAGATCTGCATTCAGGTCATAATAGCATACATCACCATAATCCAAGATGGGGACAATAAGGGTCTGTACAATCATCGCTTTCGTCTCGGAGGGAACGAATGTTCATTCTTGTTTTAATAGTTGCACTGTAACTTGGTGAATTTACTTGTTTTCACACGTTAATATTACAATTTATGTATTATATTATGGTGGTTGTTACATAGACATCAAATAGGAATGGGCAAAAATGTATGGGAGCTGGTTCTGTACTCAACAACAACGATGTGCGATTAAATCTCATCTATATGTATATTTTTGAAAGCAACATAAATTATATTAATAGAAAATTAAGTATTCTATGACTAGTTCTTTACATTATTATTTTTTGTCCAGTTTAAAATCGCTCAGGTGGGCAGCATTTGGTATATGACTGGTTGTCGGGCCCAAAAAAAATGCCTATCATAAATATATATATACAGTCGTTAACTCAAGCAGGTGCTATAACAATGCTAATGCTTGCCCTTCCATATCAATTTCATCCATCAACAATATTATTGCTGAAGATTTCAATTGTGTAACTAACATTTTCAGTTAAATGCTGCTAAATAATAATACTGTACCACATCAACACAACGCCATTTGGTCCCAAACTAAGCAGAGATTGTACTATGGGTACTAGACAACTGACATAAATACATAAATGTAGGTACTTTTTTTGTTAATACATACATTTAATACATAGAAACATCCAGGCCAAATCAAACATTCAATGTTCCTCTACACAAACGTTTGGCTTGAGCGGGAATTGTACCCGTGACCTTTGGTGTAGCAGTCTGTTACACAAACCACTACGCCACACGGCCGTCAGATAAGGTGATATAACTTTGCTATTCTAATATATGTCCCTCAATTCAATGATTATATGTTGAACTGTGTCAATATTAGACGTCTGTACAAATAGATTGACTTGGCACTTGACATGGTCATGTGTTTGTGTACATAAAGGCTCGCACGCGCTTGTTCTGTGAGGAGTTTAGGTGAGAGTGGATTGTGGAGGGAACGACTCGGGCAACCGAGCGCCGGGCACGCCGTCATCGCGGCGGTAAGACCCGTTATGGAGGATTGGCTCGAGAGGCGTCACGGGACCCTCTCATACCGACTGACGCATGTGATCACTGGGAAAGGATGTTTCGGGGATCACCTGTGTCTGATCCGCAAGGAGCCAACGCCTGAGTGCCACCACTGCGATGGCCAGACCGTGGACACGGCTCTCCACACGCTGGCGGAGTGCCCGGCGTGGGTTGAGCAGAGGCGAGACCTCGTGGCGGCCATCGGAGTGGGAGTTCTCTCGCTCGATAGCCTGATTGCGGCTATCGTGCGTGGAACTCTGCCGTCTCCTTCTGCGAGCAACTTATGCTCGCGAAGGAGACGGCGGAGCGGGACCGGGAGAGGTTTAGAACTCTCCCGGCCCGCCAGGCCCGGGAACGGGCCAGGTACCGCAGGCGACTCAGGCGCCGGAGGTCGCAGAACGACCTCCGTTCTCCATAAGCGCAGGCCTGGGGATGACAGGTGAGGCCATCTGTCACCCTAGCAGAAGCAGGCCGGGGTGGCGGCGAGCGCGTTGCGAAGCGCGCTCGCTTCCAGGGAGCAGAGGGAACATGGGGTTCCCACACTGGGGGGGGGGGGGGGGGGTCATCTACTCGGCACCAGGGACTTCCTTTCTAGGGTATACCTGGTTCCCCGGCTATTAGTACCCGAGACGGCGTGCGGTTTTAGTCGGTTCGAGTCCGACATGCCACCGACAGGTGGTATCCGAGGGGATTTCTGCACGGCAAAAAAATTAAAATAAAAAAAAAGGTGAGAGTGGATTATTATCTGAACATCCAATCTAAAAACTTGAAATTTTGGCAGCTGATACATTTTTATGTTGTAGGCACCCACTACACTCATACCCACCATATAAAGAATTATAATGTCCGTGTAGTGACGGATTAAGAATACGGAATATCACTACCACAATTTATCCCGTGGGTGTTGTAAGAGCCGACTAGGGGCACAAATAAATCCGATGCCAAATAAATGCCAATAAAAATAAAGATATCTAATATTGACTAGGTCGTTATAAAATGGTGTTAGCTAACAAATTAAGCACTAATTTGTGTCACAATTTTCTGCTCTAGAAGAACTACGTTGCGACTTTGAAGACTTGGTTTCTTATTTATTATGTTTTGGTTTATATAATTTAATGTCTGGACTTTAAATCATAAAGGTCAATAGTATGTACATAAGTAGTAGTTTAAAGTTATAACTTTCTAAATGCGAATATATAATAAAATTAATTTAGAAGTATTTAATAACTAAAACATTATTTTATTATGTTTTTTTTTAAATTAATTCAACTCCTCTACTTTTACTGCCTGCGTCTGCCAACAACAACTGCCTTTTTTATTTGGTAGCTTAACCTTAGTAGTTAATAAAAATAAATATATAATATAAAATAAAAATAAAAAGAGAAGGAAAACTTAAAACAAACCCTATACCAACCCGTCTGGCCAGCGTGGTATAGTAGGCCAAAACCTCCTTTCTCAGGAGAGGCCTATGTCCAGCAGTGGACTAGTATAGGCTGTTGATGTGATGTGATGTGTGTTAATAAAAAGTACTTATTACTAAATAATAAATAAAAAAATAGGTAGGTAATCGATCGATGATGAAAAGTATAAACTTTAATAGATTACGTGCCTAATCAATTTATCACAGAAAGTTTGATAGTAATAAGTAATACAGCAATAATCGATACAATGAACCTAAAAGTATAATAATAGATAAAAATTAATAATTGGACACATTTCATACACGGCCATCTGATCCCAAACTAGGCAGAGCCTGTAATATGGTAACCAGACTGCTGATACACATACTAATATGTTACTGAATACAGATAAATTACACCTAGACACAGAATAAATGATCGTGCAAACAGTAAATAAAAACTAGTCGGTTGCAATAAGGGCTATTTTAAAATAAATTAATATTTCAGCAATAGCAGGCAGTGACTGGTTCCAAGTTTCAGCAATAGAAACAGCCAACGAAATTAACAAGCAATATCGAACCTTCTTGTACCCATAACTTTTACTAAGTGAATTAAGTTATCGCCCTTGCTTCGTTAGCAATAAGTGGTACGAGTGAAGCGAGGCGAGGAGCGACGGAAAATACACTTTCGTGGTAAGAGGTCGAGCACATGTTTGTGGAACTGCTATTTGGTCGTTTAGCCAGTTGCGTGCGAAACATCACAGCGATCGCGCATCGATTGCTGTTCCGGTAGTGCCGTGAAAACTTGTTCAATTCTATTAAATATTTGATGTATTACTGACAATTTGTCCACAATGAAAGTGATTGTGTGTTGCCTCTTTATCATTGTGAATATTAGCAATAATGGTAAAGCCTCCTTGGAGAGTTTTGCGCCTACAGGAACTAAAACTCTCTTTGAGGATACAACTAAAAACTTAGGTAAGGGACTGTTTCTTGTTACTAATTTATACAAGCTGTTTATCCTTTGCTAAAATCTAAAGGAAGTAATATAAAAATAAGTGTAATCATTGAATGGTATAAACAGTGCTAAGATACTGATCAGTAACAGTGAAAATAATCTTGAGACTTCAGTTTTTTAAATACTAACATAACTTAATACAAAGGATCAGAAATAAAAAAAATCAGACCGTTGATTTTAAAATAACAAAGATGCGACGTTATGTTGAGCATATTGTTTTATTTCAGAAAAAATATCATGTTACCGACCTTGCAAGTTCAATGTGAAGCCAAAACGTTGTCATTATAATTTTAAAATCGAGCCTACTATCCAAGAAAATGGGAAACCAGCCATTACAATCAACGGGATGAGCCCAGGACCACCTATACAGGCCTGTGTGAATGACATTATTATAGTAGAGGTACAAAACGGTATCCTGAACCAGGACTTGAGCATGCACTGGCACGGAGTTGACCAGAAAGGAACTCCATATATGGATGGTGTGCCAATGATAACTCAGTGTCCAATTGCTTACGGACAAACATACAAATATGCATTTGTAGCCAGTTCACCAGGAACATTCTTTTATCATGCTGACTCAGGTAACTAATACTAATCAAAACAAAATTACTACTCATTATTTCCAACTTTATTTTCCTGTTAACGTAATTTGCTTTGTTATATCTTTGTCCCTGAATGGCTTAAATTCTTTTTCTGTAATTAGCTGAACCGATTTTGATACAACAGAAGATACAGTCAATATTTGAGCGTGATGCACAACCAAATATTTCTACCGTTGGTTTTTTAATCATTTTAATACAGAGTAACATAACGTCTGCAAGTTTACATAGACTAAGAAGATATAGTAATGATTGGTTAAAAAATCTACTTTGGGTATGAGTTAAAATTACATTTAAAAGCTTCTACGTACATCCAAACCTTTGGTTTCCGCTTCGGATAACTGGTTTTATTTTGCGTCGGAATATTTTGCCTGTGAGTAAGGAACGTAAGTTGACCTCATGTTATTTATGATATAAATGACGTCCTTAAAGTCTACACATTATGTTTTTGAGTCTACTTGTTTTCGCAGATTCGAAACAAATTCTTAATAATGTGTGTTTTCCCGCGTACCTTCAATTTCAGACATGTGGTTTTAATCCGATTATTTTAATAATTAGTTTAGATATGAACACGCATAAAAGAAATAACAGAATTCACTTCGGGTTTGCATTGATAACTTTTAATGTAAAACTAGCTACTGCCGTTTAAGTTATTCAAGTCTTTGGGGGTTTTTTCATTCATCAACGTCATTGTTTAAAAATACAAATAAGTTTATTGAACCATCAAACTTACATTTTGATTAGAACTCTGTCTCCTAAAGTAGGTTGATAACCCTGTATTTCAAGAGTCAGTGCCTTCCTTAATTAGAAGTTTAATGGTTTTAGGAATAATTGTTATAATTCTGTGAAATAATTGTTCAAGAATATAGGTTAATGTATAGTTTTAAATCTTAACTTTGTTTTGCAGTGTCTCATCACAGCGACGGCGTTTATGGTTCTCTGATCATAAATCAACCGCAACCATTAGAACCACATTCATCACTTTATGATTATGACAGGAGTGGAGAGAACACGCTGTTGATCGGTGCGACATTCCCTGAGCTCTTGACTGCGAAGCTTGAGGATGTGAGCGAGTTGCCGCCTGATGCCTTGGTTATTAATGGGGATGGTGATATTGCCAAGTATGTATTAACGTGAGCTTATGTATGTTAAACGACTGTGATGTGGAGTTGTCTACTATGTTTTTTTCTTCGCATGCTCAGTGATTTCTTAGTATCGTTTACCCAAACTAAATTGTTTGAACTATTTTAAGATAGATTCCGTATTACACATTTTTATAAAATTCATTTAGAGTTGTTGATTAAAATTGAAACTGATCATTTTTTTTTATTAAAATAGCCCAAGTTACGGTCAAGTTTATAAACAGTTCTATTTTCTTTTATTTGTTGCTTTGTAACAAGGAACTAAAAAAAAAATATTTTTAATAAGGGAATTTTTTCGATAACTTACAGATTTCTCTGTGTGTCAAGGATAATCATATCATTGAATATATCATTGAGTATAATAAAGGAGACACGAAGTAATGTACAACACTTGACTCAGTGTCAGTTGACGAGGCCAGCGTTTAAGAAATAATATACAGTAAAATTATAAACAGTCATAAATATGGCGAATAACATAATTTTTTTACAAATCATTATCTCTTTTCATAAAACTGGTAGTTATTATAAAATAAGTAGCAAGGATTTTGAAACCTTATAACTTGTTTATCATGCAAGATTATTAAACTCGTACTTTATTTTCGAATCGAAAGATCTAGAAAAAATTACGGCGGAGCGAAAAACGTAAGAAGGACGAGGAGGTAGTAAAGACATGCTGCGCTGCAGTTATAGTTTTAAAACCCATTATCATGTCAGTTATTTAATTATTTTCAAGCACCCATACCGAGGTATTCAAATTGTCTGCTCGTCTGTCCCCTCTAACATAAAAAAAAACATTAAGATTTACTATAAACAGTGTTAGATGAGTTAGGAACTTACAAACAGGTTAAGATAGAAAGATTACGATGTCAATTTATTTATGTATAGGAAAAGTGATTTTAACTAAGAGATATTGAACTAGGAGTTATAGTGTAGTCAATAAATTGTAATACTAGCTGTATCCTGCTACGCTTCGCAATGGCACATTGGGGTTGCACTGGTGAGAATGAGGAACAAAACTAAAGTAAAAAAAATAAATCAAAACAATCTTTGAAGCGTGCTGTATATCTTGTGTAAATGAGGGCTCAATCGGTGAATTTTTTTATAGTTTCTGATGCGTAAACAAACCAACTTAACATTTTTATATAAAATATAGATACGAGTATAACTTTGTTCTAATAGACAGATATTTATCCGACTGCACGGATAGCGTAGTGGTTTAAGCGGTCGCAGCGCCGCTTCCTACTATGCTGAGTGTTGTGGGTCCGATCCCCACATAGGACGACACTTTGTGTTATCCTCAAATTGTTGTTCTGAGTCTGGGTGTTCCTTGTGTCCGTTTCATGTATGTTTGTAAAGTCCCCCGCGACACAGGATATATTCCTAATGCGGGAGTTGTCTTTTTTAGAAGATATACACATACTAAGATGTATTTATATACGAGTAAATCTTAATTGATATACTTTATTTCGACTTCTAACGAGATTCTTGGTAAATCTAAAAAAGACACGTAGCTCCAATTTCTAATAGCAAAATATATAAAACATTGTTTTTAGTTTTCTACACAAATATTCTTTGACATCGTTGATTCTCTTCTTTGTTCTAAAGTTTCATTTCGTTATTTTTTTCTAATTCCAGAGTTGTCGTTATGGCGGGCTTCGCGTACAGACTGAGGTTGATAAATGCTATCGCAATCGAATGCCCTGTTACCGTAAATGTAGAAAATCACGAATTTATAGCAATTGCAACCGACGGCAAACCTACGAAACCTGTTTTAGCTAGAAGCGTGGAATTATATCCAGGTAAAGTTTACTATGCCAATGTTTACAATAAAAAAGTACAATATGTTCACGTAATAAAATTATATGAACTAAAACTATAACTCTTGAAAACGTTTGAACTAATAGCGACTCTAGATTTTTGTGATTAAGTATAAATTAACTCGAACATATCTATATGTCTAAAAATACAGTATATAAATATGTCTAAAAAACTTGTTTGGTTACAACTCTCAACAACCAAAAGGTATTTTTCCTTACACTCGGGAACTTAAATGAATGAATGTTTTAATATTATGCAAACAACGTGTTGCAAAAGTAGAATTACTTTAATCCTTGTAATTAATCTTTTATCTATAAGGATAATGATCGATGCTCTCTTAGATTGGATTCTCGGAAATAAAAATTAGTGGTTATCAATCTGTTGACGCTACTGTATTGTTTGCTAAAAGAGTTTAAATTTACTTGACTCAGTTCAATAAAAAAAAACTTATGGAGTAAGTACCAGAAGTATAACGAATACTTATATACTGACAAAGACTATATATTTCGGCTTTTGCCTATTCAATGCCCATCAATGTGTAATTTAGTATTAGTTTGTAACATTTTATGATGAAATGAATCAGTTCTTATCTTTTCTTTTTCCACTTGTGCATTTTAATCTTGCCTTATTACTAGGTAATTATTAGCGAAGGTCAGATTACTATATTCGTACAAAACAGTAGGAGGTACTGTTCGGTTACAGTGATTTCAGAACATTTGCTGTAAGTTAGCAAAGATAATGAGGTGATTTTCTTACCTTAAAATACATTATTTGGACATATTCAGGGACATAAATATATCTTTAAATATTCGGTTTCTTTTTATTGGATGATTTCACAACAGCAAGGTTTAACTTCATACAAAAATATATAATATATATTTTATACAAAAATTTATTATAGTTTTCGAATATATCTGTGGTATAAATGAATAAATTAATAATATGTAGTTTTGGACGTTATATGTATAGTTGTAGCCGTTTAGTAAGATTTTGCTATTTTAACTTTATAGAGATGGTTATGAATGATGACATACTCTATAGATACAATATAAAAAAATCAGACGATTTTCTTCTTAGTAATGTTTAATAGATAATTATACAAATAACTGTTTTGACCAACTTCAAAAATCGAGAAAATAGACTTTCTCTAAAGGTAATCACGATGACCACTCTTTCAAGTAACAGTTGTAACTGTTTCTAAAGTGTTGGTGGTTTCTTTTTGCTTTCTTAATGATAGGAAAAAATTATAATTGCACCAAAATAAACTTATATTATGCGCATATTTTGACAGACAAACGTATAACATAATGTTATATTTTTTTTTCTTCTTATATCTGGAGTAATGTGGTAATGAAGCTGTTCAGTTGGTACAAAAATCACTCAAGTCTGACGACATTTCTGCGTTGCAGTGCCGCCACGCTAACTGATCTCTACCGTCATTTTGGTACCCTTTTCCCAAGTCAAGTTAGAAAGAAATAGTAGATGTCGAATTAGTCGGTAAAAACATTGGAATAGATTTCTTTTCTTGCTTTTTTTACGGCTGACCTCCTAACCTGACGCTGAACTCTCCTTGGGAATATAGTCGCTTACAGACGGGAACAAGGACCAAGGTAAATTGTGACAAGGAAAATGGATGACCGTAAGTTTCCTATGGCGAAATGCGACTTAGCCTGCAGTAGTTCGAAGACGCCGGACCCGTTTTTTGAAGTGAAACCTCTTTAGGCGCGTAAGGGCATTTTTGAACAACAAACAAAATAATGTATTTTTTGAGTTGGGGAAAACCATTGAACTCGCAACACTGTTACCGTTACTGACATCTTTGTGTATAATTATCTACATATATTGGTCCCGTTTACACGAGAGTTAAGTTTGGGTTCAAATACATTGATAATATATTTATATATAATATAAACATATATTGTGTATATACGAAAAACATAGTACTATATTAATTTCGGAACTTTTCGAATCGAAAAAAACAAAAGAAATTCCTGTTATAATTAAAAAAAAACAAGTTTTTACTTCTGTCGGCACCAGTGCCATTGTTTTTTCTGTTTCCCCTTACGGTTAAACCACCAACACGGTAACAACCACGGTTTATTAGATTCTGGTACATTCTGCAATTTGATACAAAAATGTATGGAGTGTATTGCTGTCTGAATTTAAGTTAATACATTTGAAAGCAACATTTGGAATCCTTTATTACTTAAAAAGTACATGGGTGATGCGAGGCAAAAGTGTAAATATACATATATATATGTATTAGAAAATTAATTACATTAGCGGTGGCTGAGCGAAGAGAGTTTAGTTAAGAGTGTTGATGGTTTTGTGGTAATGTGTATTAGGACATATGTGTGTATTTGAGTGCGTTATGTGTTATTAAATTCTTTGCGCTTATCTGTTTGTTTATTTTCAGATTAGAAAGACACTAGAACAGGGAGGTCAACTGACAATAGTGCAGTTGACTGTATCATAAATAAATAACGATGTCCGTTTAATTAAAACAAATACTTATTAAAAAACATCGCGGCAAATATAATTATTCTAGCTTTTTATAACTAGTACTAATTTAAATCAAATACACATTGAAATGTATTCTGTAATTGAGTAGTCTAAATAGTGACGTCAAAAGTTGCTATTTATTACATTTTTAATACAACTTTGTCGTTTTGACAGATGATAAAAAGTAACTCATTTGTAAAAGGTGTCAAATACCCTATTCGGTTTTAGCTTATCATCGCAAGAAAGAATAATGTTAATCATAAGAAGGTGTTTGAAAAATATGAATTGATGTATTTCACAACGTCATCAATCTATGAGGTTACAATATTTAAAATCAAATAATTTGTTATGAATTCACGACTTAATAAAAGACTCACCATCACCAAGACATCAACCACCTACCGCAATAATCATTACTGACAAGGTCAGCTGTAAATGTAAAAATAAACTTTACTGAATCAGTTTGCTCAACACCTACTCGACACGATGCACTCCATATATTCAAGGTTTTACATATACATTTTTCTTTGTTCCTTTCAAATAAATCTAGACAGAAGAAATATAGGCAAAATATAAATTAATAAAGGATGTTCAGTAGATGACGTGAGGTTACGAACTAGAATCATTAAGAACAAAAGCCTAGTTTTAGGAATTCAATTTCAACCTAGACACAATTGAAAATGACCGGTTTGTAAACACGTTCTGTGATGAAATTTGGTTTTCGCTGAAATTTGGTTTCAAATTGCGTGTCTATTTTAAGAATGCTTCAGTTAAAACATCCATTTAATTTTATGTAATTTATATTATTTACCAATTTAAGTTTTGGTGATTAGCTTCTAGTTCATTTATTTGTGTTTTTGAGGTCATTAAAGTTTGGTCCTGGTTTTCCATATATCTCTACTATGACTATAATGAATCTAATCTAAAAATGAATTTTATTTATTAGGATTGTCTGAGACATTAAATTTAATTCTTCCTAGAAAACTTTTACTGGTTGATATTTATGATAATAAAACCCCTTTAAAAAAAGTTGAACCGACTTCAAGCAATACCAACAAAAACCACTAAAAACGTAACAGACATCGCAGTTGATTTGTTGTAATTTCTTAAAAAAGTTCCGTTCCTTAAAAAAGAATTTTGAAAATCCGTCAATATATAAAGGAGTTATGCACGAACATACATAAAAATAATATAAACATTTAAGTCGGTGAAAAAAGACAGCTTTCACGCGACGCTAAACTGATAGGCCAGTTAACATTTAGAACCGTCTGTTAAATTTAGTTCAGTTTTCTTATTTGCAGACCGCGTAGTCAGAATATATTACAATGAAATTTATGTTTTCACAGCAATTATTGTGAACTGTTTTCATGGTGTGTTAATATCATAGTTTCTATTGTTTTGTCTTCTTAAATAAAATAGACCTAAGTTGTTGCTATACAGTCTTGGAAGATTTTTGAGTAAAATAATAAAGGTAATAATGGTAATTATTAAAAAAAAACACTGTAATTATTTGTTATATTATTCTTTTTTATTGAATCTTCAACTAATATGGAAATGGTTTGAAAACATCTTTGAAGGCGCCAATGAACTCGCCTTCTACTACAAGGACGAAAGAAAAGAAAATATTTTTTAAGTATTTTTAATAATTGTTATTATGAATATGGAACTATTTTAAATTTATCTTTGCACCTACCGCATCATATTGCTATACCATTCGAAGGTCGACTGGGAGAGAATGCCCTGGGCATTAAGTCCGCCTGTGTACAACTTGTGCATTATTATAAATAAATAAAAGAATAACGTTCACATTTCATAAGACTTTGGCTCTTTATCTATTTTACTATTTCTTAAGACTTAGGTATCGAAAGTAAGGCGTATTTTTATAACCGTATAGACTGATTATAACTTTTACTGCGGTGAAAGTCACTACCAGTAGACAAGACGATTTCGAATCTATTTTCAAGTTCCAATATTATCGCATAACAACTTAAAAATTAAACTAAAATATTAAAAACACGTTTTCATAATATTTCTTTATTTGTGGTTTAGTCATTGATTTACTTTGTGTTTTCTAGGTGTAAGAAATTACTTTCAATTTCAAAAATATCGTTTTTTTTTTTTTTTTGTAACTTCACACATCTTACACACGGCAGTCTGATCCCAAACTAGGCAGAGCCTGTACTATGGTAACCAGACTGCTGAAAAACATACGTATATATTTTTAAATACATTCATATTATATATTTTTAACATACTATTATAGATTTTGTTTTAACAGGTTGTATTGAACAGTAATGTATTCTAATTTATTTTTGCTGTTTAAATGAAACTGCTTTATAAAAAATGTAACATGTACTCGTACATTAATGTACAAAACAAAAAAATAAATAAAATTTACTAGATTTTGCCCTCAGCTCCGCCTGCTGTTGGTTGTCGGGGCAAACAATAGCCTTATAAAAAATGTAACATATACTCGTACATTAATGTACAAAACAAAAAAATAAATAAAATTTACTAGATTTTGCCCTCAGCTCCGCCTGCTGTTGGTTGTCGGGGCAAACAATAGCCTTATAAAAAATGTAACATATACTCGTACATTAATGTACAAAACAAAAAAATAAATAAAATTTACTAGATTTTGCCCTCAGCTCCGCCTGCTGTTGGTTGTTGGCAAACAATAGCCTGTGTTACTCGATGACAATGTAGCTTTCCATTAGTGACATTTTTAAAATCGGTTTAGTGGTTTAGACATGAAAGCGTAATAACCAAACAAACAAACTTACTTTTACATTCATAATATAAGTATAAAAGTATGGATTTTCACTAGTTTGACAAATTAGATCGACTTCGATAATTTTAGAATTTGCATCCACATTTGCGTTTAGAACATGAATCCAACGATTATAAAGCTCTTTGGTTGTGTGAAATTTGTTTTTGCTGAATCAAGTAATAGGAGAAAGGTGTTTGTCCGTCGTATTACTATACCGCTCAGTTTAAGGTCGTCATCTCGTGCCTATAACCGGTTCCGTTCCGTAATTTTACTCTATTATTACTTTCTATTTCATTTGAATTATTTACAATCATTTCACTAAGACCTTTTACTCGCACTAGTTTTTGGTACTGCGAACAAAGAAAACACTTCATTTGTAATACGTATAATAAAAATTGAAAGAACTCAAAATCATTGGTGTACTCAGGAATGAGGGCTGCTACATATCTTTCTTAAGATAATTTTGTCTTTCTTCGGGGGTGATAAGAGAATAGAGATTGATTTAGAAACCACTACACCCACTCATAGTATTTTCTTAGCACATTTTGATATGTTTAAAACCACAAAGAAAGTGTATTTTGTACAGGAAGTTTTTTCTACGAGCCAAAAATATTTAGTGTACCCACTGCTTTATTGCGTCACTTTCATGGTTTTTAAGTGTTCAGAAAGTTGTGATGATTTAGAAAGTCTGGGCTTGTGAAGCTGTTTGAATAACTTGCTAGACAGACAGACTATTTGATTATTATTAATCGGCTTACGGGTAGGAAAACTATAGGAATGCAATTATTGCTATTCGTTTAATTTATACTTATTGTTTTCAGGAGAGCGTATGGATGTGGTAGTTCGGGCATCCCAAGAAGGTGGTGGTTACTGGATTCGGGCGCAAGGACGCGGCGCTTGCGCAGGTATCAGCGCTAATGCGATGCTTATCTATTCCGGGTTTAACTACACTTCAATGTTGCAAGAACATCAGGTGTGTATATGCATAAGTTGGAATCTTAGCTTTTGGCTACATTGAATATTTTTAAGGTTAAATATGTTAGATTTTTAATGAAAAAAATTAAAGTGCCCAATTTGAAGGTATATATATTAACTAGCTGACCCGGCAAACGTTGTTTTGCCAATATACATTATTGCTAGGTAATAATAAAAAAAAAACCGGTCGGTCACCCTTTTCATTTAGGGGTATGAAAAATAGATGTTGGCCGATTTTCAGACCTACCCGATGTGAACACAAAATTTCATAAAAATCGGTGTACCCGTTTCGGAGGAGTATGGTAACTAATATTGTGACAAGAGAATTTTATATATAAGATTGTATGAGCATGTATATGTGAGCCAATAATTGAAACTCGGAGCGGAGACCTGGTGACCTATAATACAGGTTTCTACCTAGCTTAGGCACCAATCTTCCACAATATTATGAAATATTGTGGTGAGAAATAAACATTATTTATTATTATTAGTATCAAAAATGCTATTGCATTATAAACCAGATAATAATAGTTTGGCAAGACACGAAATTTTTCGTACAAATTCTAAATTGTTATGATTTGAAAACTCGAAACACAGATACGGTATTCTGTTAAAGTTATTTTTTTAATATTACAATACATTAAAACGTTTTTTAAAGTAATTTATTCAAAAGCCGATACCACAAAAATGAAAGGAGTTTTTTTTATAAATATTATAAATAATTTTAATAATACGGCTAAGCGCAGTGTACCATTTTGCAGTTTGTCATATCACACATTTTTCCAAATACTTCATGAAATCAATTTGACTGCTTCATTAGGGGACATTTGTCTCAGAAATTTAATATTATGCAAGCGAATCACTGAATCACAAAATAGTTTTTTAGATAGCATCTACATTTTAATAATTTTTTTAAACAACAACATTTTTGAATGTAGTATCATAAATATTAATTAGTAATGACGTAAAAAAACAGTTTCATAACTAATTATCTGTTGTTAATTTTGGAGTTCACGAATATGTTATGACTTAATTATAACAGTTTTTGCGCTCCAAATAGTTTTTTTTTGGCATTGTTTTCGTGAATTCGCATTAAAAACATAGGTATGCAAATACCCAGACTTTATGCTAAGACCCAGACAGAAACCCAGATCACGACTTTGGACTTTTACCATATGGTAAGAATTTTCACTTCGTACTCTCTTCTTCTCTCTTCTAAAGTTTCATCAATCATATTAATATGTTCATCGTCGGAAACAGATTTCATTCATCTAGAAATAATGAATTTATGTTTCTAGATTTTCATGAGTCAAACGGAATTCACAATGCAAAAATGTACTCAAATAGTGTATTATCGCATTATATCCAGTAGATAATTAGGCACCAGTCAAAATTTTTTATCCAGTAGATAGGTAATTATGCGCCTGTCAAAATTTTACTGTTAATTTTTATTATTTACCTACATTTTTTTTACGTACAGAGCGAGCTTGAAAATTCAAAGTGGGGATCTGATATTATCTTAGGAAGTCAGATGATGGAGTCCCTTCAAGACCTTAGCCTTGCATCAAACGTGAAACACGTATATTTGGGAATAGACAGAAACATAATAAAGGTGAAAGAGACTGATCACGACTTCAGGTATTTCATTGATGCGATACCTAAGAAGCCTTATTTTCCCGCACCGTTAAGTAAGTATGAAATATACGACTACATCTGTTGTCTGTAAGTAAGTAAGTAGAGAATTTATTTTCATATTTTTTAATCAGTTTTTGGATCCAATTCTTTGTGACATTTTTTAAATGTCTTTTTGTTGAGACGATCACTACAGGTACATCCGTATAGAACATTAATTTTGTGACTTGAAAGAGAACTTTTGGCAGAAACAAAACGAGTGTGCTTTAGACCACACGACTGAAGTAAAACTTCTTTAAAGAAATGAGAGAAAGAGAGAAAGAAAATGTGTGCTCGCACCTCTCTCTCTTACCCCTACAGTATATATATATGAAACGTAACTCTCTCTCTTTCTATCTTCACTAACTTAGATCTTCCTCTTAAGTTCCGTTCGCCTCGCCTGATCACACTTTTCGTTACGCATTCACCAGCTTACTCCCCAAGTCAAGCGTGCGTGAAGAAGTTTACTCCAAAAAAATATGTACTAAATTAAAAATAAATTCAAATAATGAATTTGAAATGCTTCATCATGAACTAATTATGAAATTATATATACCCTTAAGGGATGATGACTTCAATTATTAAAAATGTAGATAACTTTTTTAAGACTTGATATCATTTCAGCGCTCCAAGAAAATGGTATAGTTCAAATAAATGGTAAGAGTTTTCTTTATCCTAATGAACTGATGTTACTTAAACCTTGGGATGTTCGCGAAGACTTCATCTGCAAGGTCGGTGATGAAGAGAAACAAGAAGAATCACAATGTGTGCAAGTACTGGATGGAGCTGAAGGAGACGAGTTTGAAATTGCTCTTGTAAATGAAGGTGAGTAGATCAAACAAGAATAGGAATTGAAATATAATGAACTGTGTGAGTATTTATTAAGATTTGTTGTGCGTGTGTGTGTGTGTGTGTGTATGAATATTTTTACACTATGAAACAAAAAACCTTGTTAAACCTTTCGTTGTAGACACTGTTTCTTTTCTAAACACTGAATTGGCATTAACTTATACACCAAGAAGGTGTATAACTTATAATGCTAAAAGAATCTTGAGTCTGAAAGGTTGAATTATAAAAACGTATTTTCGTAATACCACTAAGTAATATACACTTCTATAACTCAAAACTTCATGACAATACATAGTAACTACAAATATATTTACCACTAACTTTTGCCCGCGACTCCGCCCACGTTAATTTCGGTTATCGCGGTAAAAAGTAGGCTATGACTTTCCTCAAGAATCGAGGTATCTCCATTCAAAATTTTATCTAAATCATTTTAGCGGTTATTGATTCCCCGTAAAACTTCGACCCCCCTTTTCACCCTCTTAAAGGATGATTTCTAGGATAAAAAGTACCCTATGTCCTTTCCCGGGACTCAGACTATCTCTATACCAAATTTCTTCTAAATCGATTCAGCGATTTCAGCGTAAGGAGGTAACTGACAAACAGACAGACGGAACGACAGACAGACAGACACACTTTCGCATGTGTAATGTTACTATGGATGATTATTCTGCCAAGAGATTACTTATGAATAAATTTATTCCTCATAGGTAAAACATTTGTGTATAATACTTATCTTCATCCCGTCTAGTATTAACTTGAAGGTTAACTAGGTGGTAAAATAATTGCAAAAAAACAAATAATTTTATATTAATATCTCCTGGTTTTCTGTTCCTTTTAGGTTTTGGCAGCAATGACTCATACACATTTCACATGCACGGCTTCAGCATGCAAGTCATTGCCACATGGCAGAATCCTAAGAATAACCCGATCTCGAAACAAGACTTCGAAAAGTTAAACAAAGATGGGAAAATATTGAGGTAAATATTATTTTTGGGTTCCTTACTTTAAATGGTAATTCTTTTTTAATAAAGGGAGCAAACAAGCACCCGAATCACCTGATGGTAAGTGACTCCCGGCACCCATGGACAACTGTAACTCAGGAGTCACAAGGTTTTCTGTGAGGCCGTGGTATTACTTCAGTCGAGCCGGACCGTTTGTGACTAAAATCCACTAACTAAACGAATGTTGCTCCTGGAGTTCTGTACTTAAAATAGTAAATGTTCCTCTTTGGAATGATTATATATTTTATATATAACGACCGCTGTTTCTCAGTAGTGGGTAGAAGTATCAATTTGAAATTTATAGCTTAGATATAAGTCCCATCTACGATAGGTAGCTTGATACATTTTTAAGTTTACTACACCTTTATCAATAAGTAACGAGAACCTTGGCTAAACGCATGTATATTTTAATATTATGCTATTATGTTACACATCGCTTTGTAGACGAACTTAAAAGTAAAAACTTTTAAGAAAATAATGTACTATCGCAAATATAATATTTTAAGGCAGGCAAAGAACCGTTGTTATTTCTATATAACAAATCTTACTACAAAGATAAGAAGGTGAAAGCAATCTACAATTCAATGTGAATTTAATTGGGCGAAAAAGCCATAAACTTTCTCCTAATGGAGTCATTGCTTATCAGCAGATCATAGAAAAAGTGCTAATTCATATTTCTGATTGTTATGCTCTCCGCAATAAAACTGTTGCATAAGTACTATTCAGTTATAATATACGGGTATTTAAATTATTTATTATCACGATATGTATATATCTCTTAATTCGATTCTTTTAATGGTCGTGACAGGTATCAATTTTTTTACTGAGTTATGTTTTTGAACGATTATTTGTGATATGAAATTCAATAAATAACCGTAAACTAAAAAGGACCTAAACCCAGTTCTTCTACAGCAAATAATTGTGAGATCTAATGATGAATTAATAACATTTTATAGTAAGCATGTCCATTGTCCATAATATAATTATTTTATCTTTTCTGAATAAAAAACATGGACATCGCACTCTAACATAATCACACAAGGATAACCCATTTTTAGTCCTAAGAGAACATATCGCTTATTACTAAGTCATTCTAAGTCAAGAATAACACTTTTGTCATAAAGCTGCCCTTATCTAACCGCGTGTCTTGTAGTTACACAAGGTCAACCAAAAGTATTCTTGAAGAAGTAAATTGCATCTTCTTATTTTGTTCCAGGAATCTTTTAAACCCCCCAATGAAAGACACAATAACGGTACCCAACAAGGGCTACACTATTGTTAGGATCAAGCTCGATCGTGGAGGCAATTGGTTGTTAGAGTGCAGATCCTGTGCCCTTTCGTCCCTTCCAGTGGCCATTGTCATTAGGGTTCCACTGACGATACCAAAGGTTATTGCGGAGTCATTACCGAAGTGTGGGAGTTACAGGCCTCCAGACGTTTTACTCAACTGAATACAGACTGATACAGTTACGTACGTTACGTTATGTTTTAGTGTTTGATGAATGTTTGTGGGGTTTGTTTAAATGTCAGTATTATCTGAAGTAGGTTTGGGTTGTAAGGACTAGTCGCGAGACATCAACATTTGAGGAAAAGCAATGGTTTTCAACTGCAGTAATTGACAGTTAAAAATAACGAGTATCAAGAAAATAATAATGTTAAACTATTATTATTTTTCTAAGATCGTTAAAACGTTTTTTATGTAACAAATTAAATGATTAAGTTGAAATTGGTTACTTAAACAGTAATTTGTTGAACATATCTTATGCAGGACTGAGTCGGGTTCTGTAATACCAATTATAACTTTATACAACACATATAAATGTATGATAAGGTAATATAAATTTACTAGTTAACTAGTTATTACAGGTTTATTAAACATTCAGGTTGAATAATACTCACTAGTATAATAATGTATTAAGAAAATATAGGTAGATGCAGGTGCTACCTAAACTTTTATTTAAAGTTAACTAGAATGAAATAAGAGTTGATTTTGAAATAACTACAAGTAATACAAAAAATTCAGTCAGTGGACTGATGTCATAAACTTGTATAAAATAAAAGTTTAGTTTAGATACAAGACGACGACGTTTTTAATGGTTTTCTGATTGTAAAAATGTTTAAGAAGTGATATCAATTAAAAGTACGTATATTATATAAGATCTCTAAGAAAATATTCTTAACAAAATAGTTTTACTGTTCTCGTGTATTGTGTTATTATTTATTATTATAATAAAGAATAGAGAATGAAACAAAATATTTTTATTTATGTTTTAATAGCGTAGTTGATAAAATCTATGTAATTGGAGACATTTGTGTAGACCGTTGGTGCCCCTACTTCACCACAGGGCGACACACCCCAGGATACCACACCCAGAAGTACTGACTCAACATTATCTGCTTGAGGTTTCCCTTCTTCAAGTCTTCCCTGTTCTTTCTTGTACAGGCTTGCATTGTGAATTTCAACATTTTCTTCAACAGGGTTAGTAGTAGGTGGATCGATATTTCTAATTTGAACAAGAGGGCCGCCTGAGTCTCCTGCGCAGGCGGCAATTCCACCAGATGTAGGGCCAGTGCACAAATTAGATTGTTTGTCCAAAGGATTTGATTCGTATATTTCTTTTAGTGCCTCGATCAGATTATAGCAATCTATATAATGTAATAAATTAATGATTTGAAAAACAAATAAAACAAACCTAAGGATAAAATGTATGCAAGCATTTAAAAGCCATTTTATATCTGGGATGTTCATATAATGAAGAAAATTTAGTTGGAGATAGGTATAAACAAATGAAATTATTGTATACATACAAAGAAAAGGTTTACTGATTTATAACATTAAGTAACAAAATATTTATATGTTTTGTGACTTATAATGTCTCTTGATTTTTTTCAGGTCTCGACAGTTTAATTCAAATTACCAAAAAGGTCGACTGAGTGTCGCTAGCCTAATACTAATATAACAGAACAAGATATTGATCTATAATTTTTTCAATTTAAACTTTATTTTAATGAGAAAAGAGATAATACTGAATTTCATTATTTTCAGTCAATGCATATGTATTATTTGTATTCCGTAAAAAAGAAATTTGCTTTTGTTTTGGTCACCCTATAAAATAGGGTAAATGACTGTCAAGTCAAATCAGTATCTTTTTTAAACGTTAAAACGACTAGACGCGGTACATTTTTGTTTGAAATACTATTTCGTGACGTCATACCCAGCTATTGTCAAATCATTTATTTTTAATGTTGATACCAAGATATCAAATCAATAAATAGATTAAAGTGATAATGGAGAATAATTCAGGCTCTTCTTTAAGATGTTACATTTAATGATGCAGGCGAAATTATTTATTGTAAACCAAACCTCCTTTCTAAGGAGAGGCCTATGTCCAGCAGTGGACTATTAGGAATCTACCCTATTGATTCGTAAAGGCATGTCTGGGCAAATCGTAAAACTTTTGTTACCTCTAATATTCGTTCTTCTTTGCTTTTCAAAGGCATCTTTTAAAAAAACACTTAGTAGAGGGAAAACAAAGGTAATAGATAAAAGTACAGATGAGGAAGGTGAATACTGGTGTTTGAACTTACCTCTAAATGGAATAGCTTTAACTTTAACTTCCTGCAGATTATCAGGCAAATCAGGAAAGAAAAATGTTGTACTAAGAGCACCCCAACCTATCACTTTCAAAGCGCTTGCACTAGGTTCGTTATTAAAATTAGTTGGAAGTTTAATGGGCTTGACTGCCTTTGTAAATCTGAAGGGTAACATTGTTTTAAAAAGTGCTATGTCGTGTGGACCAATACCACTGTAAGAAAAACAAAATATATTAGTGGCTAGTAACCCATGTCTGCATCGGCACAGGTAACACATTAAACATGTGCTCTTTATATATCTCAATCCATACTTCCATGCAATGGGAGAGGCCTATGTCCAGCAGTGGACTGCGAAAGGCTGATGATGATGATGATGATGATACTTCCATACTTATATTATAAACATGAAAGTGAGCTTCTTTTTTTCTTAGTTAAGTTTTCACGCCTACTAAAACTATCTTAAAAATTTAAAAGTTAGTATCTTAAAAATCCGTTAACAACATAGATATACATATAGATTTTTGTTTCTCAATAACGTTGAAAAACGCATCTGGATAACAGAACAATGGCATAAAGACATTTACCTAAACCTAAACTTTAAGCGTTTAAAAAATTGACTCACAGTAAACTTAATAAATATTTTTTCTATGAGTTATCATTACACCACCGTGTGTTGTATAAGTCTTATAGGAGATAACATTTTTTAAAAACTAATTTGACCTAAGTACGTAATGTCTGACATATTCGCTATCAAGTTTAACTGACAAAGGATGCGTAATGGCATTATTGTATTATGGAACGTTTAATCGATAATTTTTCGCTTTTACTGATATCCAAAAAAGAAAAAAAATCGACACATCTAGAAGATGATATATTTTAGTTAAAAATAATAAATATACGTGGACGATCAGGCATTTTAGAATAATGCAAGTAATGTCAATAATTAACCTCGAAATAATCAAAATCCAATAAATTTTTTCCTAGTCTTCTTTTCTTATGAGAATGGTCAACAATAAATTCTCAAGTGTTTTAGGCATTTTTTATATACAAACGCTACCATGTCACTTTAAATAAAATTATATATGGGGACCTGACATTATCCTTTGACACAGAGATAGACTATAGGTTGGTATAGCACCTAGGCGGATATTTATACCTACGAAAGAAAAAATTACTAAACTGACGCTAATGCGATTAAAGCCGCAGTTAAAGGCTTGTATATGTAGCAAAGGTTTTTAGATATTGTGTTTGTACGAAGACAAAAAACAATACTAGTGGTATCACGAGGGTTATTTATAACAGGTACAGGAGCTAACAGCTTAGTTTTTTTTGATGTTAGAGGGGGCAGACGAGCAGACGGGTCACCTGATGGAAAGTGACTATGGCCGCCCATGAACGTCTGCAACTGAGGAGTACGTTATTTCTTGAAGGTTTGAAGGTCGTATCGGTCCGGAAATACCGCAGACGACAACCCGTTCCGTTTGTAAAGTTATTGTTAGTTTTATAAACTTTACAAACAAGTTATTATTATGAAACTAAGCTGTCATATAAAAATAATAAAAAATTAAGTAAGTACGAGCAGAAAAAGTAAATGTGTGTCGCAGCTAAATTATTAAGAATAATACATCAGGCGCTCTAATGATAGTAATTATAATTTGACACATCCTACATACGGCAGTCTGATCCCAAGTTAGGCAGAGCCTGTATTATGCTGCTAGATTGCTGATAAACACACTAAGGTATTTATAAACAAATACATGGATAAAATTCACTCAGACCTAAAACAAATAATTTTGCTAGTCACACAATTATTTGTCATAGGTTCAGAAGTGGTTCAGAAGATTTTCCAGGATAACCAGTCAAACAAAAAACTAGTCAACAATGTTCGGAAACTGACTATAATACACCACTTTCTGAAAAAAATCAATTTAGAAAAATGCGTCAAGATGAGTTCAATTCAATTTTCATTATTGCGCTTTGCTATAAGATTTTGGTAAACCTCCTTTCTAAGGAGAGGCCTATATCCAGCAGTGGACTAGTATAGGCTGTTGATGATGATGATGATAAAATTTTATGAAATATTTAAAATGAATCTATAAAATATATAAGCGAATTTATGTATGGGGTACTTAAAAGAACCGTTAGTATTCGAAATATTTTACGTTATAGGTAAACTATGTATGTACTCATGTCGAATTATTTTTTGAGGCGAAAACGAAGATATGGAAAAGATTTTAAAGAAAGGATAAAGTACTAAGAATTAGGCCAATATTTACCCATTATACAGTGGATGACGTATTCGTTCCTTAATTTGGTTCACTTGCACTGGAGATTTAAATACGTTAACGTTGTGCATACCAGCTACAGCGTCCATCGGCAGCCATCTTATGAGCCAGGATTCCGAAGCGCAGTGAGCAGCAGAAAGGATCTAATAACATTAAAGAGATAACACTAAAAGTATAAAAAAACTTTAATATACTTACAGATACAATAATAACCTCAGACATCTCACACATGGTCTTAAACAAAGAAATAGAACAAATTTCAACAAATGATCGTGCTCATCACACGATTATTTGTTCTGGGTGGGAACCGAGCCCACGAACTCTGGCTTAGCAGTCAGGATCACTAACCAGATATTTGTAACTAAATAAATTATAGTAATAACTTACAAAATATTTATTGATGAGAGCTCCACCACAAACGTGCATTCGCATGTACAATAATCTGGTTTGTAGAGAAACAATGTATGGGTGGCTGTGTGGCTTCGCTTCGTGTCCCCCTACGATTTTATTTTGTCCTGCGGCTTGCTGAATTTCTAGGCAATTATATAAATTATTCATACATGTAACACTTTAATGAAAAAAGGTAATAAGTTAGGTGGTCAAACGAGTTGTTAGAGCGTTCAGTAAACGTCAGCGAATACTTATACAAGCAATAAGATGCATTTTATACAATTCAAGTTTACATAGATGAGCAGTTTTGATTATGATTGATGTTTGTTAGTTACTATATATATTTATTTATTATATATTTTTTGAAATCGGTTTAGTGGTTTAGGCATAGAAGTATGCCTAAACCACTAAACCGATTTCAAAAAATATTTTACCAATGGAAGTCTACATTATTAGCAAGTAACATAGGCTACTTTTTACCGTGAAAGCCGACATACACGTGGGCGGAGCGGCGGTCAAGTGTTAGTATTTAATAAATAGTTGATTATTTTAGTTTTCCGAATCAAAATTTGTAATTTCAGTTATTCTAGCTGTTCAAAATGTCTACAGTTCGACAAAACAACGACTTATAGAAGGCGTTAAAAAAAAGTATTAATTGACATTCAAGCTAAGAAATTGATGTAAACATGTTTTTTTATTTTTTATCAATTTAATCTACAATAAGACGATAACGATTTCGACAATCTCATATAAAATATTCTTGTCCTCAAAGAGATCATTTGTAATTTATTTATGTTTTAATTTGACTCTATTAATAGTTGCACATACGATAAGAGTGTACAACTTTACATAAAGTAATTTTAACTCCTGTACTGTTAGTTTAATTCAGCAATACCACTCAACCAACAATTAGAGTTACGTAAATATCGATGTTTTATCTCATTAAGAAAGTGTAGTTTAGATATAAATAATTGCTTACCTGCTGAAATTATTAAAATTAAACATTTTGTGACTGTCAGTACGAGGCACATGGATGGCTTCATCTTGAAAATGAAGAAGCGAACTTTACCGTCAAAACAATTCATTGTTGGTATTTATAACATAGCCATGAGATAACTTGTTATCAACCAGCATTTTTGCATAAGTACAACTCTTTAGACAACCTTTTGTTAGGTGTTTTATTTCAATATTATTTTTAAAAACGAGATATAATTATTGAATGTTTAAAATCTAAGTGCGATAAAATATATTTGCACCTAAAAACGTTTGATAATTTTATTTCTTATACACTAATCAATAAAGAACCTTTTATTAACTGACTAAATTAATACTGTTATACTCGAGTCCATTCTAATTAAGATCTTCATCCTAGACCTGATTAGGGGCTCTAATTACATGTCAGTAAGTAATTAAACGGGTTGGTGATACATATAGAACAGTGTCAAATGTTAAATTCAAGAAATAGTTTACTTTCATTCGAATTTTTGTCAAAAACCATGTTCTAATGGCAAAACACAGGTTCACACACAAACTTTTGTGTATGAAGTCCCTTTTAACTTTGAGTTCCTGCCACCACTTACGGGTTTCCATTGATCAACAGCGTCAAACTAGTTATAGTGAGAAGACCTACAACAAATCTTTTCGACAGAGAATTGAATAAGTCAATGCGTTTGGTTTTCGATTGATTTTCTTCTTCTTTGATCATACTTATCATTTAATAGTTATCTGCATAGTTTTCATACTAACAGTTTTAAACATAATAATGTGAATTAATTATATTTAAGTGTGTAAGTGGCCAGCGTGGTGTAGTAGGCCAAAACCTCCTTTCTAAGGAGAGGCTTATGTCCAGCAGTGGATGGTGGTGGCTGTTGATGTGTGATGTGATGTGAAGTGTGTAACATGCTCCCTAGTTGACGATACCTGATATAAATATGCAAAATTCATATTCAAAGTTATGTGTGTCAAAACATTGGTAATTAAAAGATTTATACCAAACCTCATACCAGGAGGCCTTAATATTTTACTTCTTCTATTTGGATGGCCAGCCATTTTAGACATAAAATACTCCATAATATGTAAATGTAGTATCTTGAATTTATAAATAATGCTACAGACTGAATAAAGAAAGAAGAAATCATACTTATTTATTTATTTTTTAACTTTTTGCACAAGTACATGCATCGGCGGACTTAATGCCTAAGGCATTCTCTGCCAGTCGACCGATTGGGCGGTGCTGAGAAAGAATGAGGTAGGTGCATTTATGGTAGGGTATAAACGATAGTGGTTTTGTTAAATACCAACTCTCTTGGAATTTGGTGTATACGTCGTAATACCACACACATACACATATATATACATATACATACTCATAAATATATACTTATTACTGTACTTCAAGAATTCCGAGAACCAATTTTCCACGAGTAATTATATACAAGAATCCGTGTGGTGACCGATTAAGTATACGGAGTGTCGCCACCCCTATTCATCCCATGGGTGTCGTAAGAGCCGACTAAGGAAGCAAACTACGCAGGACAACGGCACTGAAAAGAGAAGGAAAACTATATCACACTGGCCAAAAAACGTTTGGCCAGTGTGATATAGTAGGCCAAAACCTCCTTTCCAAGGAGAGGCCTATGTCCGGCAGTGGACTTTTAAAGGCTGTTGATGTGATGTGATGTGAAATTCAAGATTACCTAGAGTAAGACCCTCTGTGATAACTTCAGTAATTTTTATATTTTATTATTTATTTACTATCAGTCATATAAATAAATATAATCGCAGGTAGTATCGAAACATGTTTTAAGCGGTCGCCACGCCGCTTACTACTACGTTGGGTGTTGTGGGTCCTATCTCCCATGGGACCACACTTTGTGTGATCCACAAATTGTTGTTCTGAGTCTGGGTTTCAGTTTGTAAAATCGTGTCCCATGTGGGGATCGAACCCACAAAACTTAGCGTCGTGGCGATCGCTTAAACCTCTGCGGCATCTGAGTTTAAAATTTAACTACCATGTGCCCTGACAAATACCGGTAAGTTATGAGTATATGTCGATTGTTTGTTTATTAGCGTTGTCAAGATTGATAAATAACACTTTGAAATGGATATTTCATCATACATACGGGTAATCACAATATTGAAGTAGGTCGTGCTATCTTTATTCGCAATGTGTTACGTAATTCATGGCAAAATGATTTAAATTTGAAAACTTTCAAACTGGTTTAGTTTTCATTTCAATTAAAAACTGATGGAGCACGACAAGGCGGGCATTAACTCTTGGGAACCCTCGATAAAAGCTTCTACCTCACAGTCGTCACCATCAACAGCGTATAGTAGTCCACTGCAGGACATAGATCTCTCCTTAGAAATAAGGTTTTGGCCTAAATCACGCTTGCCAGACGGGTTGGTATAGGGTTGTTTCAAGTTTTCCTTCTCTTTGTACAGACCGTTAAATTAAATTAGGACAAAAGCAGATACGTTATGATGTTTAGTCTTTTTAGGGTTCCGTACCTCAAAAGGTAAAAAAGGAACCCACCGATTTTTTCAGGAACGGGTGGACCTAGCAAGTTGAAATTTATTTATTTATTAATTTATTTATAATTCATATATGTAGTCCCCATTAGCTGTATGAAAACCAACGTCCTGAGTCATCACGATAAAAAGATATAGGCAATTTTAAATTTTCGCTAAAACTTGTAAGTACCTAAACTTACCTTAATTTTAAAGTTTTTATTTTTCGGTTTTTTCCCTTTACTTGTGCTGTAAGACCTTGATTTTAACCAAAATTGACAATTCTCGATCTAGTCCAAAACCTATATATATATCGAAATTTGGCAAAAATCAAGGTCTTACAGCACAAATAAAGAAAAAAATCAAAAAATAAAAAAGTTGATAATTAAAGGTGTCCCCATACATACATTGTTGACGCCAATTGTTGCTGAGGGGAGACGAGGTTTGGGCTCCAGCAGTCTAGGCTAATCCTATTTCTATACTAATTTTACTAATTAATATACCAATTTTGACTGCACGGATGGATTATTATTATTTGTATAGACTGCAATTTAAACTGTTTTTTTTTGTGCTAAATAAATAAAATAAAGTAAACATTTCTGTTATGCCTTTTATGAGATTATGTATCTGGTCCTAGTGGTGAACTAAACGACTTAGTCAACTAGTAACTAAAGTAGTATAATCGTAGATTCCTGAAATATTGGTACCAAGGTGTAATAAAATTAAGAGAATGTTATTATTTTAAAACATTTATTTTCAATAAAAAATGACTGCTTTCTAAATATAAGAAAGAATTCGTGTTCGAAGAATTATACAAAAGTAATTTAAATTAATGAGGGAAATAAGAATGAAACGAGTGAAGTCATTCCATGGTGCATACCTAACACAGGTATATATTTTAAACAAAATGCTACCCTGTGTCAAAATTGTAGTCAGCTAAAAGGCCGCGTATTCACTTCAAATTAAAAATAGCTAAAAACAATTTTTCAGCTAAGTTTTCAGAAAAGTCTTTACAAAAGAAATATTTTAGATATGTATACAGCTTCTTACTATTTAGATACCTAGATATATTAGTTATCAATATTTTGAATAATATGTTTTTCTTTTTTCAATTTTAAGTGAAACGCGACTAAGCCCATTACAGCCATCTTAAAGCGTGCACATGTATTGTGGATGATTGGCCCTAAATGGCGTTTATAGATTACCATGTACCTAACTATGTTATTGCACCTGTGATTGAAATAATCTCATACCGTAATATTAATTACGGTCTCAAGTTATCAAAGATCTGATTCAAACTTGAGTTACTTATTTTATTAATATCATTTAAGTTTCTCCCGACCTAGCTTTTAAGCAGTGACAACAAGAGTGCATTGAAAATTGTTAGCTACAGATATATGCAGATTATGAGTAAAATGTGTGGCTTAAAATAATTCGGGAGAACGTTTAGATCTAATCGATATAATAATAATATTGCGAGTTGTTATTTATCTATTTGCTTATTTGCACTTAACCCTTTAAATTGTATTTGGGAATAACATTACACTTATATCTTTTTCTTTCCTATAAACCTTAAATGTACTCTATTCTAAAAGTATGTACAAAATTGTAAAACGAGTAACAACATTCTTGAATAACAACAAGTTTTTCATTAAAATGTAATGACGAAAGCCATTTATTCGCTTTATCGAGTCGATTCTTAAATCTATAAATTAGATAGCCATCTGAGTAAATACTTTGGTGTTTTTATGCGATATTCATTAGCTTGGAACAGCACCTTAAGCTTACAACTGTATTTACTGTATTTACAAACTTGTCATTTTTCACCATCGCCAATACTTTTTACAAATGAAGTAAATATGGCAGTACGGGATTGGTTTCTACTTGCTTCCTCCAATTTCAATTGCCAATTAATGTTAGTGACAATTAATGAATTGGGTAGTGTGGAGGAGTAATGGCAGGCAGGTGGTCGCCACATCGCGGGAAGTTTGGCGGCACCGGTGGTAGGTCGCTCTGGGTCCCAATGTGCAGAATCAAGCTCATTCCTATCACAATGTGGTAGATGAAATGGCAGTGGAACAGCCAGTATCCTGAAATTTGAAAAATACAAATGAAATAAATTTCTATTTAAAAAAGCTGGTAATGGTAAAAGAAAGTTAAAAACAGTAGTTAATCGATCCATATAGTTGTTTATTTAATCATATAGGTAAGAGTTTTGGTATAAATATTGTATAAAAAATGAACAAGCTTTGCACTAGTTAAGTCGCATATGACATTATACGGTCAACCCTAGCACAGCGCGCACGCATTGGACAATACAAATAGAACGCTCTTCGCCTACCTCTTGTTACATATATTCGTCCAAGTTCACAAATTATAGGAAAGCGATTTGTATCATCATCATCAACAACAGCCTTTAATAGTCCACTGCTGGACATAGGTCTCTCCTTAAAAAGGAGGTTTTGGCCTACTATAAAACGATGGCCAGACGGGTTGGTATAGGGTTTGTTTCAAGTTTTTCTTCTCTTTGCAGTACTGTTGTCCTGCGTTTTTTGCTCCCGTAATCAGCGCTTACGACACCTACGGGATGAACTGGGGTGGTGACACTCCGTATTCTTAATCCACACGGATCAAAGATGTTCTGCATCAAAAAATTGATTAAAGTACATAATAGGTGTAAGTCTCACCTGGATTGTCAGCTTTAAGCCTGATCACCACATATCCATTGTTTGGCACTGCAATCGTATCTTTAAAAGGTGGAAGGTTGTATTGTCTATGTAGCAGTCCCTTTCTATCCAAATCTAAAGCATGTTTCAAGTTGATCTTCTTTATATTCTTGTCTGGAGAACGGCCGATACCGATCACATTGTATGAAATACCGTGAAGGTGGAATGGATGTGATAAGTTTGGAGATTGCACTGTAAAGAGATATGTTTTAAAATTACAAACATCAGCGTGTTCCAAGGGTTCGAACTCTCAAGCAATTGCCAACTCAAGTTACAGATGTGCGGCCCTGAGCTGTTCAATTATTTATTGCTGACGTTACCTAATTCATCTATCTAAGCAATAGCCCTTTTATGCATACCTTTCTAAAGTACTTTTCCATTACTTCCCAAAATAGTTCTAATTTTCTTATCGAATTGTCATTATGTGTCTGTTTACCCTACGTGAATTTAGGCGTCAGTTTATGTATATATTATTATGTATGTAGCTAGGAAATCGGTTAACCGATCCTTAATCAGACACTGTTGCGGTGAAAATGTAACGTCGCACGTCGGTACGTAGCGTAACGTTTCAGTATCAGAAATGTAACATATATTTACCTTCATCAACAAGAACGATCTCAACAATTGAATTGAGTGGGACATCAATCATGTGTGTACAACGACAATCAACGGGGCAGTTGGCTGGTCTGTTGTCACCGTTGCAGAATAAATCCGATGATAACTCATTCATTTGTGATAGAGGTGGGGCAGGTGGCGCTCTGTATGATATCTCATCTACTAAACTCAACACGTGGTCTCCGCCAGGTGCCACTGGAAAAAATATTTGACATATCACAGTTGCTTTGAGCCTGCTTTTTACACGGACGGTACTTGTTCTAATTTTAATATGAACAGTGTAACTCGTAAATATAATTATATTATTGAATGCAAGCTAGTCATTACCTAAAAAGTTCCTGTACGTGTTCTCCATAAACAATTCCTTAGGCCTATATGTATGGAACCTGAATGGTAAGAAGATTTTGACGTCTGGTCTTTCCTGTAATATTGCCTTGTCAACTGGTTTGGCTGATTTCAAGTTACTGACACACACCGCATCGTTTCGCTTCACATCACACACTGCGTCCAACGGGTTTAATATCTGAGAAATAAGCTCTAATTAGTAATGTCAAATTCTTCAATAAGTAAAAAGCTAGGTGCAATTTGATTTTAATTAATAGGTGCAATTAAAAACAATAATTTCTAATTGATAAACAAAAGAGTAAAAAAATGTTTACAATATTATTAAAATGTGAATAAAAATAGTAAAGCAATTCAATTTTATTAGCTACATAAAAGACATTTTCTTACTTCTATTACACAAAAATGAAAAAGAAAATAAAATACATATACAACCTGTAATCATGTGTGAATTGAAGACGATTTATAAGATTTATGTATTCCATAGAGAATCCATGCAGCCACTCTAGCTAAATTAATATCTATAGTGCATATATACAGTAACATATCTACAATCTATATGGATATATAAAACTTATCATAATTATGTATAATATACAAAATCACCACCACAAAATACAAGGAAAATAATTTGAAAGCGTATTTTTCATTAATTTTATTGAATGGTATAAAATTTTACATTCTTATAGTAAATTATTAAAATTATTATATATGAAATTGTATCTTTTGCCATTAATGGTAGCAAAATGCATGTATATCGTTGCGGGATATGATCGTTGTTTAGATGCATAATTGTCGTTCACAGTCTACTAGGGCACATCGTCATTTAAAAAAAAAATTTCGTTGGCACTATCACACTGGCTCTTTATAGCCGTAACACTAAGACTTTCTTAATTAATGGTAACCACAAAAGTGTTTGCTGTATACATCTATAGTCTATGTAATAATATACAGTCTTGGTTGTTTACGGAGTGTTACAGAGATGACAAACTAATGTGTATTTACATAAGAGCTGTAAATTGGTATTTACAGTGAATTATAAGTATTAGCATGCAAAATTGAGTTAGAAATTGGTCAGAAGTCTTAAAACTCTAAGCAAATAGATTTAACTAGTAAAATTTTAATATATACAAGTAATAAATATCATTGGCGAAAATGTAATTATAATGGCAAGTTGTTAGTTACAGTACGAACAAGTCTCGTTAAAACTATACGCGAAAGTAGAATTGTTGGTTCAAGAGCCTCAAAGAACATATTTTAGGCGATATTTTTAATTAAAAAATAATTAAGAAAATATCACCGAATATGGAATAAAAAATAAAAATGAAGTCAACTCATAGAAACAGTGCATCAGTTAAATAATCACGAACCATCATAAACTCCCATTGAATCATTCTAGTACAAAAATAAACACAAACAGCAGAATCGAGCACTTCGAATCCGCCTACGACACATCACACAAAACAAACACAAATTTACACTTAGTTAACATGTTTAAATCAACTGTGCTGTACTTTTGCTTGCACACGTATAAACTGAATATTATCTTAGGAACCAATTTAGTGGAGAGAGATGGGAGGAAGATGGTCGCCGCACGTCGGGAAGTTTGGAGGGACGGGTGGTAAATCAGCCTGTGTTCCTACTTGCAGGACAAGGCTCATGCCGATAACAATGTGGAAAAGGAAGTGACAGTGGAATAGCCAGAAACCAGGGTTATTGGCTCTAAAACGGATGATGACGTAGCCATTATTGGGGACAGCGATAGTGTCCTTCGCCGTTGGGAGGTCCCCTTGTTTCAGGTGGCGCTCAAGCAGGCCTCTTCTGTCGAGGTCAAGCGCGTGTTTCAAATTAATCTTCTTCACGTTAGTGTCGGGTGAGCGACCGATACCGATCACGTTGAAAGCGTAACCGTGCAAGTGGAACGGGTGAGACAAGTTTGCGATTTGAACTGTAAAATGGAAAGTACAATTAAGAATTAGCATATGTAATGCATCATTTCCCGTTATTGTTTACAATTATTTTTGAATTCTTGACAATGTTATAAACTGAAGCGAATTGCTTCAAAATAACTCAACAGACATACGAAGTGTAAAGTATTTAATGACATGACGTACCTTCATCTACCAATACAACTTCCACAACTGCATTTAGAGGTACGTCTACTTTGTGAGTACACATGCAATTTTGTCCGCAATTGGCTGGTCTGTTATCACCGTTACAGAATTGCTCAGGATTGATATCATCATATTGACTAATCAGTGGCGCTGGTGGTGCCATGTATGAAATTTCGTCAACCAAACTTATTACGTGATCTCCTTGAGGAGCAACTGTGAAATTAAATATAATAATGTTAATGTTTAATTACAATTAGTTTTTCATAGAATTGAAATTAATATTAAAAATAAACTGAATAAATCTTACCTAAATAACGGTTATAGGTGTTCGGTTGGAACAACATTTCGGGTCTATAAACGAAGAAACGGAAAGGCAAGAAGATTTTAACATCAGGTCTTTCTTGAAGGATGGCGGGATCAATGTGCCTGGCATTCTTGAGTTGACTAATGCAAAAAGCGTCATTTCTTGATACATTACACCTGGCATCCAATGGATTCATCACCTGTATAGTTAGTGGGGAGAATGGTCCGTGCAATTACTAGTATTACGTGCAAATGTACATTAAAGCTACTCTAGTTTCTACTGTTGCTAAAACTACTTGAGATATTGCACTCCTGCTAAAATAAATCAGAGTGAGTGCTAACATACACCTTTTTATTAACTAAATGGTGTCTCAGTAAGAGTGCACTTTTTCAACTTTTTCATAAAATACGTGATGCAAAATAAATCACGTATTTTATGAAAAAGTTGAGATATTTTTATTGGTTTGTAAAGAAGACATGTTCCGATTAAGTATGGAATAAAATATTCGGCAAATGGCCCCCACGGTACTGATGACAGGCCATTACTCTTTTCATGAAATTTTCCATGACTTTTACACAGAGATGTGGCTGTGTCTCACCGATGACGCCTTAGATCTCTGATTTGAGCTCAGGAATTGTTTCCGGTTTATTTGCATAAACCAGAGATTTGGTGGCCAGTTGACATCAGAATCTCGTGAGATAATGTGTTCTGGAAATCTTTGATCGATATGAAACAACTGCCTTTTTGCTTGCTTGAGTAGGTGCCTTATCTATTTGAACTGAATGGTAAGGTGCATTATCCAAAATTATTGTGCACTGTTCGGGGAGGTTTATTAACAACTTAGTAAACCACTCTAAGAATTTATTTGCATCCATTTCTTCGTGGTATTCTTTTGTACTTCTGGACTCGAATGCGAGTAGAGCATCATGTACAAAACCTCCCCCGGCTGATCCGGCATGGCAATTTATTAGGCGTCCACCCTTACCCATTGGCACTTTTGAACAAGATGCCTTGGTATCATCCGCCCATGACTTGGCTGAACTCGAATCATACCGTGCCACAGCACGGTATGATTCGAGTTCAGCCAAGTTTCATCGATAAATATGACATTATCCCAATTTGTAATTTTGTTCATTTGCTTCAAGAATGATACTCTGTGCAAAATTATATCATATCGTTCCATCATAATTTTCCTCTTGTCGGTTTTCTTGTATTTGAAACCAATTTGCTTCATAATTGTTATTAAAGATGTAGCACTGCCAGGCCAGCCTCTCTTAGTGATACCACCAACTTACTTACAGTTGGGTACTCACTTCTCGTGTAATAAGCATATACGTGGTTTCGAATAGCATCTGCGTCAAATGTGTCAATACCTGTTACAGGCTTGCTTTTCTTCCTCTTCTTAGGCCTACGTAACACATTTTCTTCAGTACCGGAAGACCCATACTTTTTCTTCAAAATGGTTCGAATAGTGTTTTTGCCGATTCCAAGTGCTTCTGCTACGCGATCTTGCACTTGAGTTGCGGGTAATAATGGTCCACCATTAATTGATTCGCGTTCGAAGTATTCGGTTAACATCACAACCAATTCGCGTGATTGGCTGTTGATTGTACGTCCTCTTTTCGACATATTGAAACAGAGTTTGTGCAATATAACAACAAACACCAAAATCGAGTCCAAATCGCTATGTCTAATCAATGTCCGGAATAGAAGAGCCAAGGTCAACGTGATAGTAAACAAAAACAGTCCAAAAGCAAAGCCGAGTAGACTCTAGAGAAAAAATATCAAACATAAACGAGCGCACAGTCAACTTCACAAGATGTCGAACGAAAGACTGCGCAGTACGCGGTACGCGCATGGATCACGTGCCGCTTGGTCATAGACAAACCATTCTATAGGTACATAGAGAAAGGAAACAAATTATGTACGGCTTTGATAATTCTTTTATATACTGACTTTTAAGGACTGTTGTCAAATGTGACTGTTGCAAAATGAGACATGACGTTTGAGACAGAAAAATGAGGTGAATTATTTTTTTCAATATCATGATGAAATGATTTGGTTAAAAAACCCGGAGTCCTCTCCGGGTTTTTTAACCAAATCTAAATGAATGATGTATAATATCAAAATATTCATATTAAATATCAAAATAAAGCTAAAACTGTGATGTGTGATGAGATGTGATCAGATTTTGTTTTTATATGTTTAAATATTAAATAATACACTAATTACACATTTATCTCTTTTTTTTATGTAATTTTTGTAAACGATTTTCAGAAACTCTATTTTATTCGGCCATAAAACATTGTAGTAAAGTTCTGTCGGAATATTAATCAACGATTAATTCGTGTTTTTGAGTGCATTTTTTCAATGTAAAGTTAAACTTGATGCTTATTTATGATACGCGTTGTGATAGTGTATGGGTAACATAGTAATTAAATAGGATTATGAATTTGATTTTTCAATTTCTTACATAGACGTTCATACAAAGTTATCGCGGCATGTCAAATGAGAAACGTCAAAACGGGCTTCTTATTTTGTGACGACTTTAGGTGAAAAGTTAGGAAAAATTGGCGAAGTTTGCGAGCGGTTTCAGCGTAACTTCCCCCATGTTTGTGTTGAGTTTTCACAATTATAACGCATTGTTCTTTTGAAATTCGCTCCATTTTTTAATAATCGGAATAAACATAGGTGACAGCTGTCAAATTTTAAAGTTGCCACTTGCACGAAAAAGAAAGATTCTAACTTTAAAATGTGCACTCTTACTTAGACACCCTTTATTATAATATTGTAACTGAGTTCAAGTTCTACTGAGACAACTAAGTATCAATTTAAACGTATTTACAAGCCGGCTAGTCCCCCATTGTTTATTTCTGGCAATTGTGATCATCTAATTCAACGGATATTATTTCATTGCTTGTTTTAATTAATTACGCAAAATTTGTTTTATATCGCTTCGACACTATTGTTATGCTTGCAACAAGTTACTATAAAGTCAACAGTTTGTCTATGTTCAATCGAGGCTGTCGTGCCGGCACCAAGAATTTGGCGTGTAATATCCGCTGTTTCATAATTGAGGCTGGACTCATGACACGCGCTATAAACCACATGCTACTCATATCAGTGCACACCTGACCTGACGGAATGCATATTTTACTTTTAACTTGTTTGGTGATCTTGTCTAAATACCTTTACTGATGCTTTCCAGGAAATGTATGAAATTTATTTACATGCCCTTTTAGTTCCACAAAATCTACTAGTGATATACGAGTATAAATATTTTACAAAGGCAAGTAATGTACACCGGTATTCGCAACTTACCACTCCTTGAGGGATGCCGACGTCGTAAGTAGGTGTTTGTGAAGATGGTTGATAAGGTCCTCTTGCGTATCTAAGGATTCCTAACTGTTGTGCTCGTTTAATGCCGCACTCCCCGAGACCACGGACTTGAATCCAGTAGGCTCCAGGAATGTTATTCGCTTCAATTACAAAGTCGTACCGTTCGCCTGTAACATATTTGGTAAATCTGTGTGGTTTTTTAAATGTTTCAAAAGTTTTAGATCGAATAATACCTTTATTTGAAACCTACTGTTACAAAACAAGATTAAGTTTTAAGACTAATAGGTTTTTTTTAGTATAAATGAAAAATGGTCATTATTTTGTTTGTTGTATTTTAATATATATTACCTGAGAACGAGATGATAGTGTTTACTTGCACTGGATGTACTGGTTCTCCGTCAGTTGCAATAACGGTTAAATTATGACCTTCAAAAGTCACTTGAGCAGGACACACTGAAGCAAAAGCATTGATCATCCTAAATCTGTATCTTCTGCCAGGCGTGATTGTGAATACTTCAAGAGGTGTGTTTGTCATAAAGCCTGTGTTGGGGTCTCTGAATTGACCTTTGCCGTTGATTAGCACATTTTCAGGATCTTGTCCGGTGTTGACAGCCAGACGGCCAGGGTATCTCTCAGCGGCGTCCTCGTGCAACCAATCACTGAGGAGCATGACGTGGGTTGTCAAGTCGTAATCGTAGAGGTGGCTGTTGGGATCCTTAGAAGGTGGCTGCCTTACAACGATACTGCCGTATAATCCATCAAGTTTCTGAAGTCCTGTATGAGCATGCCAAAAGTGGGTACCAGCATTTCCTTGCCACTGATATCTAAAATAAATGCATAATAATAAATAAATTAAATAAATATATATCGTAAAATATAAATTTATTCTGGTATATAATTTTACCTAAACGTATTTCCCTGTTGAATGGGGCATTGCGTCACAAACGGTACTCCATCGTAGTACTGGGTACCTCTCTGCCAGATTCCGTGCCAATGGATAGTTACTTCCATACCCTCCATATGATTTTCTACATCAATGACGACCTTGTCATTTTCACACACTTGGATAGATGGCCCAGGTAACATTCTGTTTGCAGTAAGAATTCCTCGCTCAACACCATCAGCCAAAACGCATTGGCAATGAGACCATACTACATTAGTCGCGTTCGGTGTGCACACCTGACAAGCCCTGTAAACATTAATGTATAGTTGTGACACAAGATTGTAAACTTAACACTCAATCAGTACTCTTACACCACAATTTACTCCATACGAAATAGGTGGTTTACTTCAAGCTGTCGTCACCTATCAATTATATATAGCAAAGGAATTTGGATCATATGGCATATACTTGAGTTTAGCATTAGAAACCATACCACTAACCATTGCGTGTGAAACAAGGCATGAATTTGCGAAATGATAAACGGAAAACAGAATTTAACATGTTTAGTAAGACATTACTCCAGTCTTATTAATATTTATTAACTGTTTTATTTTATTTAATCCAATTATTATGATAGTTTACAAATTTATTATCTGTGCAATTATTTATTATACACCTGAATGCTTCCGACTGCTATTACTGATCTTATTACTTTCGAAGCTTCTTTTGACGTTGTACAAGATGAGTTGTTTAATGTCGGTAATGTATGGTGATCGATCTCAGAATACAATTTCCGTTGAGGAACTATTATGACTTATTTATATCCGAGGAAGCTAGCTCATTACTGTTGTTTTGCTAATCGGAAAAACCAGTTGGTTGTTTTTTGTTTTTGTTGGTTAGATGTTAGTATTTGCACGAAGGAGTTGTACTTACGCTCCCAAAACAGTGTACAATTCCAAAGTGAAGTGGTAGTAGCAAATTCTCGGTGGTTCGTTTTCCCTGCAGGCTCGGGCGCATTCATCAGGAGCTGACAGAGCCGGGTTCCTTCTCAATTCAGCTGTTGCACTACTGGTGAAGTCCAGATGTTTTAGAGACACTTTTCCATTAGCATTTCTGGCTAAAAGCGGCAGAGGATTATCTCTAACTCCACTGCTCAACGGACCGCTGCCGCTTGTGGCAAATGGGTTAGATGATGGTCTAGAAGTACTGCCTACACCTCCAAATGAAGAAAAGGGATCGCTGCCCGATGGATGGGTCTGTACGAGGCCATGGGTCGACGAGAATGGGTTGTTAGAGCTGTCGCTGCGGAATGGTGTAGCAGTACCAGCTTGCCACCATGATGCTGAAGTCGATTGGTCGTCTGCAGTGCTTATAGCTTCTGAAATAAAAAAAGAGACAGTTAAAAAAATATATTTTGTTCAGTAACTATTTCATCTCAAGCATTGTTCTCGCTCACAAATCTTTGAGGATTAGAATTTAGAAATATTTTATATCGCGTAAGTAAGGTATATAACCAAAAACTTAAACAAAGTCGAAGTTAATAAGTCGTCTCTTTGTTTGGCCTGAAAGTTTAGTACAAGGTTATGGTTAAAGGTCGTTGCGGCCTGTTTGAGAGATCGATAAACTAGCCACTTTTTGCATTAAATAATTCGTTAAAATGTTTAAAAACTAACAATAGTGTACAGCTATTTTACTCTTTTGTTCTTGTTTATAGTCTACAGGAACCGGATAGAATATTGTTCATCATATTCTTATACATTTACGGTTTTGACTTTGATAAATTTATAGTCAAATTAAACGACCTTATATACAGAAAATTTGAGTAAGATTGATCAATCAATCCTACATGGCTTCTTCCCACATCTCTAACTACCCACACAGTACAATTTACACTAAAACAATATTATACAGTATCATATAATTAAACCTCCTTAATAGACGTTGGTTTACCTAAAACAGTTATAATAGAATTTGTTTAATAAATAAGACTCTTCTTATCTCTTAGATGTTAATAAACATAGTAATATGATTCTGTAACAATTTCCCAAGACGCTGACAGCACTTGGATAATGTATGCACCGATTACTTTATTAGATAACTAGCCTGCAGTTCTCAACAGGTGCGTTAATGCAAATTCACTCGGATAAGCTGCATAGGTAGGTTTACTTGTCACGACAGTGTTTTCGTAACTACAGAACAACCAGGGACTTAGGTCCAATGTCCTTAAATCGAAGGACTTTTACTTCCCTGTTACAGTTTTCTTGAGCTATTAATTGACCATTACTCAATCGATGCGATCGTTTGGTTATCACGTTATTATAATTGATAAATAGTTCTATGTACTGAGGTAGGAGAAAAGTATATAGCACTTTGATGGTTAAGACCTTACCATTGTCGTACCGTACCAAAATCGTGGCAGTAATACAGTTCGTTTAGAATTGATTATTGTAGATTATGTCAAAAATGAATGTAATGTGTATACGCTTAGGATTTTAATAGCAACAGAATGTGGTAATCAATATATTATACGATCTTAAATATATCAAAAATGGCCGTAGTAATAATTAAGTCGTGTATTTACAAAATCACATAATATAATAATTAGCTTTTTGTAGGGAATAACTGTGCAGTAGCTATTTTACGTTTATAAGTGTATGAAGTGATTGATGGTGGCTGATGATTATTGTATACTTGGAGTCTTGGAGAAGATACATAAGAGATTAACAGTTTATAAGTTCTGGATTATATATGACATAGATCTTATTAATAACTATAATTAATATAAAATGCACTACTGAATACTGAGTTCATTCGTAAATAGTATTTTTAATTCTTGATATTCTGATGATTTTCGGCATTCATCGTATGGTCACAAATAAACTTCATTTCCCTGATGTTATACGCATCTCATTCAATCATTGAATTTTTATTTATTATAATTCTTGTAACCATGTCCATCAATCTATTTACGTCAGTATGCTTATGAACGATAAGTTTTGAAACTATTATAGATTGCATGGTTCTAAATATGTAAAAAATGACCAATTTCGTTATAGTTGCGGAACTTAACAATAGCTACGTGTTCGATGCGAACTAGTGGCCGTTTTTTTGTTTTCACATTTACGGCTCGGGAGCCTTGAGTAATCATACTTTTATTTCCTTATTTGTACCTAGACACTAATACAGGATGTCGATTAATGGTACAAATGACTTTACTGTTTTTTAGAGCTTAATTACTCTAAATAATTATTAGATATTGTACAAATTATAAGAATGCTTTGTTTTATATGCTAATATTTTATAAAAAATAAAATAGAACAGAATTTGATACGAAACTCCTACTTTCGAGTGCCTTCTTTAAATAGTTAATAGAGATCTTACGGAAAAGTCTGCAGTTCGTTCTAATCCAAGACTATTTAAAGTAGCTTAACTTAACCTAAGCCCATTTCTTATATTGTAGATGAAGGCTATGGTTTCCTAGGATCTCTGACAGTACTCATGAATTATTCGAATCGAAATCTTCCGGTTGTCTATCGCGTGCGTATGCTTTTGTGCTTTAGACTTTATTTTAAGGATTTATGAAACGACTGCTTTTTTGTTATTCTATTTCTTAAGCTTTGTTTTTCAGACAGATATATTAACCATGCAATCAGACATTAAATAATTCATAATACATATCTAAGTTTTCTATAAATGTTATATTTCGTTTATTAAGCCCCTACCTTCAAATTGTATAAGGTATCATGTTCGGTGTATTCGTTACTTCGATCGAATTGTACCGATAGTGGTTACGGACCTACTTATGAAACGACACTTTACGCATCTGAGTCTCTAGTGCGCAAACGCGTTAAACACAGCGTAAATTTATCAATTTAATAAATATAAAAACCGACTATATGACAAAAAGCCTAAATGTTTACTGAGAACCAAATTAATACATAAATTATAATGTGAAATATCGATTTAGGACATTTAAAACTACAAAAATATTATAAGTTTAAATACCAACTGTGAATACACTTAATATTTATTACAAACTATTTTTGAGATCAAACGATTTCAAACCTCTAGTAAAAATCAATTTTGTTCGGATCGCAGACCGTGAACTCTCTGGTCCGATTGAATTTTTCCACAACATTTGTAGTAATATTTATTTCGTTTTATACATTTTTAAAATGACGAAATATCCGATCTCACCGCTACTGATTTATTAAAAAATAAATTTATTTCGAGCTTAACAAATTCTTAAAATTATCCGTATGGTGACAGATTAAGAATACGGAGTATTTCCACCCCTATTCATCCCGTGGGTATCGTAAAATCCGACTTAGGAAGCAAACTACACAGGACAACAGCACTGCAAAGATAATTAAAACTTATCACAAACCTTACACCGTCTAGCCAGCATGGTATAGTAGGCCAAAACCTCCTTCATAAGGAGAGGCTTATATCCAGCAGTGGACTATTAAAAGCTGTTGATCATGATAATGAACAAATTCTTTAATTCTTAAAGTGCCCGGCTCTCCTCAAAAGGCATTGCCAAAGTCTATTTCGTGAGTGGGATATAATTATATTATATATGATATGCAAAATATGTACGCTTTATGCACTTTTGTCTATTCTTTCGGACATATATTTTTAGGCATGAGTGTTTGTGTTTATGTAACACATTTTTTTCTAGCAAAACGTCTATATGCAAACGTGCTGTTAACACACGATTCGCCAGCAAGAATTGTTTGTAGAGTGCGAATAGATTAAATTAAACAGTTTTGTAAAAGTTGGGTAATTAAGTTGCATTTTGAGCAATAATAAAACCGCTTATTATTGTATTAAATTGTCTTGTTTTGAAACTGTTTCAATATGAAATGGATTTGCATTGAATTACGATTGAGGCGATTGTTTTTAGAGATATTCTACTGAATTTTTAATTTATAACTTAAATAATTTGTGTTCTACAACTTATAATTTATAACTTTATTCAGTAAAGTTATAAATTATAAGTTTTAATTATAAATTACAATTTATAATTTATACCTTTAGTAATTTGTATAAATTAGATGTTTTTAAATTAATTAAATAAACTACAGCTACTAAAGAAATATCAATAAAAATTAAAAAAAGCGAAGAATTTAATAGTGAAAGAACAGACTATTGACAATCAAGAGATCTATGCTGTGTCAGACAGGTGTCCCGTTAAAGTTATTATATACACTAGGAAATTATTTACACAATTGAACTATAACTTAAAATTAGACTATATAAAATCCATGTTCTCCAGTCAGTCATCATTACAGATATTGTTCAGTTGGGATATCAGCCTATGTACTTAGTTGTTATTGAGAAATAAAACGTTAGTATAAGATCGATATAACCGATTTGTTGGAGTATCATTTATTATTGTTACCTTCTCAATGAGTGTTGTAGAAACGTTACGTTCAATCACGTTGTTTTCGATTCGTCTCGACTATATTAAATTCGTTCCGTTCAAATAATCGCTCGTCGTGAGCATAGCTGAGCACTGGTTTTTAAGGCTGGAGACACACTTTTTTTCTCATACTATACTCTTATATCTATACAATTTTTTTTCTTTAAAAATTACCTCATAAATTGTAAAACGCTTTTAAGAAACAAGCTCAGCCCATTAACATTGTCCTTGTAAACATATTCAAAGAAAAAACATTGCCGCATGGCGAAGCATTGGACTATTTATAGATTTTCATTCATCTATTAAAGTAATAATAACCAAGCAATACTATATAAATAATTATCTGAGTCATGTTCTCTGCGACAATGTTCTTCGGTATTATTAAAGCACTCGCTCCTAGGCTATGTAAGAGATAGGACCTGAAATAACATGCTCCGGGTCCTCACAGAGTAGGACACCTGAGCCATGGCCGTCGGGGTGGTTTTTAGTGGAATCACCACGTACTCCTGGCTCCCGAGTCCCCGAGGAGCAGGAGATCCTAAGGGATTTTCCACCCATCAACAAAAAAATAATGCTTTGTAACAGATATTTATTTTTTGGATTCCAGTTGAGTGGGAGGAGACATTTGTTACTGGAAACGAGTGCGTCACAAGAACGATGCATAATGCGAACCTATTGAATTTAAAATGAAAAAAATATTTTTTATGTACATATAGGTATGGAGAATACATTTATAGTGAAATAAATGTGTTTATACAAGAAGTTAAAGAAAAAGTGGTACCTTTTATATAAGTTAATTAAAGTTACAAAATCGACCAGGAAAAAAGTAATGAGCAAGATAGCGTAGCACTATAGCGTGACCTAGGGCTTGTAATTTCGTTACGCCAGTATCGAAGTATGTTTTAAGTTAACTGTTATCGGTATTAATGTGTAACCATAGTTATGCGCGTAAA